CAGTTATGAACGTGTTACCACGCGCCGTGTAGGTCATATAGGAATGGAATGCTGATCACAAGATTGCGATTCTCTTATTGTTGTAGAGACGCCTGTGCTTAAGTATTCCAACAAAACCGTGAACCTTAAAGCCGCTGAAAAAAGCTGTGCAGATATTTATGTTTCGCTGTTCTGCCTTGGCATAAGCATTTGAACACCACTAACCATTGAGCACAAACCTATAGCCAATTTCTAGAGATGCTGGTCGACTTTGTTCTAACCGTCAACGCCCACCCTAAGAAGATGCTCAAGGCGTGGTAAAACGACTAATCTGACAGGTAAACCAAGACACTAACTGGAAAATAATCAGCTTCTTTTTGCGTTATGATTGTCTGATACTTCCACGTTAATTATTGCTACTTAGCTTGGGTCACCAGCCATAAATCAAAGTACTGTTGATGTCAAGGTACCAAAGGGCCAGATTCATTTTTCATGCTGCCAGATTCATCCCAGGCCTAGATTCTTGGGAGACTAGCGGTTCGAAACCTTTGGATATCGCAATGCTTAGCGCTACAGCTTGCTCACAACGTGCTCTGCTCGCCCTCCAAAATGCAAGCAGGTCCTACCGGTGTCCCAATCGGCCTGCTCGAAGTTAAGTCTTTATAATCGTAATAAACAGAGACATGTTGAATGTTGCTTTTACAAGACGCACACATCGAAAACACTGCATAACCCAGGTGTGAGATGTATTGCAAATGCCTTGGTACCTTAAAAGAACAGTATAAGATAAAACTAATAAAACTACTGACATTTAAGTTAAACAAGAAATCATGTCGAATCCTCTTGCCATGTCAAACGCAAATCCTCAAAATCCTGCTGTCATGTCAAATGAAGTGTTAAATGCCAAATCTTGTCATGTCGAGTCAAATCCTCTTGTCATGTTACCACTGATTAAAGTCCGAGCTCATAAATGGTAAAAATAAGAATGCTCTGTGAATCTGCTCAAGAGGAAGAAATATTTGTTCCGGACACCAGAGTGCGATACCGCCTCCAACGTCGTGAAGCAAGTGCTGTCTCTAACGCCACTCCAACCAAATGCTGTCAACCATGTTGCGCTACATGCCCCAGACCGATAATGCAAGCCTCAATGGAACAGCAATATGGAGACAGTGCATCTCCATACAATAACATGGAAATAGCCGGCGAGTCGGCCAGTGCGGTTCCTGGTTTCTGACGGACGCAGAGACTGGTTACTCCATCACTGAACTAGAGATACTGACGGCAGGATGAACACTATACGTGTGCCGCATCTACCTTTCCGACCTACCTGGCTCCACTTCTCGTGAACCACAAGCTCCTTCTACCGATTCTGAACCGCTACACCCTTGACACATCCTCGACCGCAACAACTTAAGGAGAAGTCGCCCGTGTTCACTTCCGCGGCAAAGTGGAAGAAAGGGAAGAACATGCAACCTCGGACGCTCTATACAGAGCACCTGTAAATGATCCCAAAGCAGAAGATACCAAACTGGCTTACCAAGTGAACTTGCAAGTACGGCACGTGACAGGCGCACTGCTCTCCGGAGACAAAGAGGTTCCGGAGCGTTTCAAGGACCTTCGATTGGAAAACCTCACTAGAATGCCATCCAGCGATGCGTCATACCAACGGCTTCTCTACGACGCACAGAATGGCTGGCCGTCATCCAAGCAACTTCTGGTTATCAGTCTGCAGCGTTCCCCGGCGATCCTTGGAGGCCTCTCTGTCGTGCGCAGTCTAGTGCTGAAAAGTCCAATGATAATCGTTCCGCTTGCTCTAAGATATCAAACTTTCGGCAGCCTCCACGCGGCTCACCGTGGAATGGAGCGGATGGAGAGACACACGAGGCGGGCTGTCTGGTGGCTAGGCCTAGATTCTGATGTAAATAAGCTGATCGACAACTGGCTCTTCAACTAGTGAGGCCTGTCAGCTGCACCTCACTAGTCAAGTGAAAAAGCTGCCCATTACTGACCTTTTACCATCCGCATTTTCAGCACGCCTGGATAGACCCGCTCTCTTATGCTGCTCGTCGTTCCCTAGCCTACGTGGCCAGACTCTCTGAATGGCCGGGCTTTGATGCATTCCCTTGAGAAGACACTCGGGCCGGTCAGTCGATCCAAACCGTCAGAAAGGCATTCGCCGTGTTCGGCTTTTCTGTCTTTTTCCACTCCGTCGCTGAACCTCAGTTCTGCAACCACGGCTTCAGGGGATTCTTCAAACGTTGGGGAGTGAGGCCAGAACAATCGACACACCATTGTCCCACAGTCAAATGGGAACGTTGAAGCGCCGATCAGGACAGTCAAGGCGCTTGTCCAGAAAACATGCCATGACAGAGAGCTCAACGCTAACGCCTTCTATACAGACCTTGACGAACTGCGGAAAACGCGCACGGCTGATGGCTGCTGCTCAGTCTTCAGGTCGTTTCCGATCATCGTCTTCGCTCCCACGGTATTGCCGGCCGCCTCTCATTCTACCGTGAGTGGAAGATCGAAGCAGCTCGGCCGCCGCGTGACACTGGGTCAAGGGGCGTCCGCCTGTAGCCGGCGGCGTTGGTTCACGTGGCCGGGGGGCGAGATTGGGACGGTGCGAGGCACGCAGGGAGTAGAGAAATCGGGGAGGGGGGAGGGTGGTCATCGCTGGAAGTGCCGTGTCTCGAGCTGCATCACTAATGCAAGGTGAAGTAACGTGGGCTTGACAGCGGCGACAGCGGGTACTGACTCGACGTCTGAGAACTGGGATGACAGTTTTTGTGCTGCTAATGCCAGTTAGGCAGTCATCATTTACCTGTTTTCCGACGGCTGTTAGCGTCCTGTTTTCAGCATGGCGCCTCGTGCTGCTCGTCGATGCTGCGAACGCCTCGTCTTCTCTGCTGATGGCTGAAGAGCAAATCTTGCGCTCCCTGCCACTTGCGCGCTGGCTCACTTCTGCTCGTTCTGCTGGTGCTGGGTTGAAGGCAGCCGCTGTACCTGGTTTCGTGAACTCCGTGTTATGGCGCCCTGCTCCGCGCTGCTGTCTCCCTGTCGGACCGTCTGCTGCGCTGAGCTGAGTACGCTGACTAGTGGCACTGGTCGTCCGAAGATTGGAAGAACTATTGGCCTGTTCGCCTGTTGCTGCTTGCTTGTCTCCTGCCCGCGTTTGGTGGCGCCTGCTTGTCTATTGCTGGCGTCGGGCGGCGCCTGCTCGTCTGCTGCTGACGCCTATCGGGTAAAGGGGAGGGGGGGGGTCGTCCCTTAAAAATGTCCCCGTAAGATTGGCCCGGTCTGGTGAAGATAAAGTTCGACATTAAGTTATCGGTCAAAGTTAAACAGCCGCAAGTCAGGCACAGACCAACAGGACCATTGACAATAGGACATTTGTGAGCGAGAATATGCTTCGCTAACCGAACATGATAAGCGGCTGGGATTTGCAGCGCGAAGTGCGAAAATATGTTCAAACCAGCAAGCCTTAGTAGAACGGGGATAACTTGGCAGTACGCAATACGTCGATTGCGCGCATGCGAGAGCACACGTTTCACCTGATACTTAAGGCGTTTCATCCGTCTGCAGTTGTTTGGTGATCCAAATACCGTGTCTAAAAGCTGCTTTTCTTGCCATCGTATGGACTTTCAATTATGTTGCTCGTCAGGCAGTCGTACAATGACGTCACACCGGAGTTGCCAGATAAACTTTGAATGGACCGCGTCTCCGACATGAAACAGAACAGCGTTGAGATAGCTTTCAGTAAAGTTACGTGAAGTGTGGTGTCGCTTCCTATGAGGACTGCTATGCCAGGAGAAAACACGCACGTTTTCAGGGAAATCACTGTATCGTACGTACTAGTGTCGATTGTCGTCATGAAGATGAGGCTGAAACAAATTATTTCAGCCAGACAGCTTTGGAAATTCGTATTCTCAGAATTCTCAAGTCCATCATTGTGCTGAGAGTCTGTCTGCCATGAAAGATAAGTAGACAGTGCTGCATTGCCTTGAAGCAGTTTTTGCCCACATTGTGTTCGCGAGCTAACCTCACAAGTTCACATAGCTTGGGCATTGACGCTCGCGCGCCTTCTTTGCTAAGCAGCGGATATGAAAGGTCTAAAATATCTGAAAAACATTGTAGTTTATGAGTGCTCTGTGGTTACGTTATGTTTACCTATCTTCGGCGATTCGATGAATCCATGCTGGCCGATCAGAACCTCGGTCGCCTTAATGCCTGACCTCAGCGGGGGACGCGGGGGTGATCTGCTCAACGACAGGCACGGATGAACACCATAAAGGAAGAGAGGGTACAGTGAGCAAGTATCCGTCATCCGTAACGATGATAGCCCTCTCTGTAATCAAATTTCTGCTGCGCCCCAGCTCATGCGCTCGTGCTGATAGTTATAAATGAGCTCATAAGAACTTCATGTCATTGCGTTAACAATCGATACTATTACTGATTGCCATGGTATTTATCAAAACATCACACAAAGTCTAGCATAGCCCATACGGATCCGTCTCACATAGTCCTGTAGCGATGCCGGCAAGACTCAAAACTGCAAGGACACAAACAGTCCGTAGCAAATAATTTTGATCATGCCACTGCAATGAATCATTGATAATTACCGTTGACAATGATCACATGTGTATGTGCTTGCTATATCGACATCAGCTCACGTTTATTCAGACGATCAGGCTGCTCCCAAAACAACGAGATGGGAAAGACCAGCGGACCTGATCTGGTATCATAATTCACTGTCTCAATTTGGTTTCAATTTATGATATGATGTGGTATGATATGAGGACGGTTTCATGATTACACGGCAATCTAACGGGACTCGCCCAACGTGATTTCGTCTCTGTTGCGTCAGCGCGGCTCCAGTATCGGCTGTCACGCAACACGCTTCGTCCCTCCGTACCGCGCGTTTTGGCGGTAACGAGGCGGCCGACGACACTGACGTCACACACTGACGTCATACGTCCCAGCTGTGCGGGGCTATAAAGTCGGCTGCACGGCCGTACGCCGGATTCACCACAGGCTGTATCTAAGAAGCGGGGCATCGCAAGCAGCAGACCTGGTGTCGTGCAGCCTGCCCGCAGTGAGATCAGGTGAGAGGGAGCGTGGTGATTGGACGAGGTGAGGGGGGCGGGCATCGGCCATCGCCCAACCCGAGTGGAGTAGTACGTCGAAAACGAGAGGAGTTCCGTTCGCCACGGGCTGGAACAGTCCTGTGGGCCGTGGATGGTTTAGAGCCGGACTCCTGTGACAAACACGACGGACTCTGGGCGGGCCTGGACTCAATATCAACCTGAAACCCGTCAGCCGTATTAAGGGACATAAAGGAGTCCCCATCATCGTAGGCAACCAGATTGGATGAAAGTTTCCATCAAGCATGTTCAAGTTACCCATATCCACTTTTAGGAAGTGATCGACCTACGTATTTGCGCTATTGCTTGACAGTTGTGGTTTACTATGATAAGTCATCTTCCGAAACGAACAACGCCGCCAGCGATGGTATTTCGCTCAGTGATATAACCCTGCGCTCTAGATTCAAAACGCACTTTCTTAGCTTGGCTTCATGGTGTACCAGAGTCCCGGAATTTTTATTGGCTTTGTACTGTGTAAATTTCACTGGACTGCAAGAACAACAGAAGCAACTTGGCACCCTCCAACAGGCTGGACAGCTCGATTCGCTCTCAGGTATTTTAACCAACGTAGATTTAAAATGGTTTCGAGATTACCCTACTGGCCAGAACCATCCGACGCGCATGAAGGCAGCCGATTTCCCGCCACAAGTGATTTGGAATGTGTTGACGATTCGGTTCAAACGGCGTGCCGTTCGGTCATTCCATAAACAAGGTTTACGTGTAGCAAATGTAAGCGCACGCCTGAAACGATGCGTAATTGCGACACAGTGCTGTTAGCAGGCCATAGGATGCGGCTGTTGCATTATATCGCGAATACGGATGCTATCTGTGGTCAATGATTCTTTGTCCGCGAAGCGCAGGGACTTATTCAGTTTTTTTATGTAAGTTGTTAGTGCATTTGCGAGGGACGTTATTCACACAGATAAGACAGTAGTAATAGCCTTATTCCTCGGAGAGAGAAAAAGCAGGAGAACGGATGATGCGAATGGAGAAATACATTTGTATGTCGGCAATATGTCCTTATCGAAACGAATAGCAGAAGCGAATCTATTCTCCTGGTTTTCTCCGAGGAATAAGGCTTTTACTACTGTCTTATCTTGTCAGTGTTTTGCGATAAGCGGCCGGTTTCGCCGAGACCGCCCCTTCCAGTGGTCAACTGGCTCTCAGCCTCGACAAAGGCGCTCAGCGCCGCTCACTGCGTCGTCATCCCGTGACCTCGTGAGGCTGACAAAGGATGCGTTGGGGCTGGCCGGCCTCGGTGCCGAGCCGGCTGCCGGCTGACTCTTCCGTCAGCCGGTGAGCACGTGATCGGCCACGGCCCGTCGGCGTGCTCCCCAGCACAGATCAATGCCACGCACGCCCCGTCCCTCCCCCGAGCGTGGGGGAGTTGGCAGCGACCCGAGACCCGGGCAACAGCCGGCTGAGGGAGGCGCTCGCCGAGAAACGTGCGGGCGGCAGGCGTAACAACCCGGTACGGTTCGGGATGGCGGACACGATTCGTCCCTATTCATTTCGGTCTGGCGGGCCTGGCGGCGTCCTCAAAAGCCATGGGTGCGAGGTGTGGAGAGTGGACCTGCCAAACTCAGGGCTATCTAGGTCAGCCGAGTGAGGCGTTTGCCCGGTCGGGTCTGGCGCGGTTTATTGGCGGATGCGCCGAAAATACGCCGCTCCTCGGCCGGTTGGCGGCCGCCGCCTCCGGGTCCGGGCCGAACAAGTGCCGGGGCAGCCGCGGCCTGTGTGCCCTCCGGCTGCGCCGGTATGGGGTCAAGGGCAGGGCACCGGCGTCAGAAAATGTCGGTCAAACGGCGCAGTTGTGCTTGTGGATTCTGGCATTGACTGGGCAACGTTCCCTGAAAACTATGTTGGTCTGTTCCGGGTTGGCCGCCTTTTTGACAGCATCAGCCCGGCACAAACATATTTGGAAAAGATCAGCAAATCTCTTTATCTATCGGCTTTTGTATGCGTGACATGAGTCTTGACCTGGCTTGGAGTCAGAGCCACCCACTTAGCTGTCATCGTATTTGGTTTGCCTCCTATTAGACCGCTTTGGGTCAGCAGTACCTATTGGTATACTTTTAAGTGGAAAAGACCGCTTTGGATAACAAATTTCGTTATATAGCAAATCCTGAATACGTCATTGTTTGATTGTGTCATGGAACGTTTGTATGACGTCACTCACGTGTAATTCTTCAATCTACCGAGAGGTGGCGCGCGGTGGTGATGGATGTGTGATGAACCAGACGTTGTTGGATGGTCGTGCTTTGGCCCTTTCTCGTGGTATTCTGGCGTATTTATCCATGAGTTTGAGGTGCTCACTTCTATTGACTTACTTGGTTATGGTGCAATTCTTAAGTCATTTAATTAGAAGTGTTATTTCCGCATTGACCAGGAAGAATATATAACTTCCTGTATTGTGTAGCACAAAACGTTACTATTGTAAGAAGCTTTCATAGTTCGCGCACAATGGAATGAGAGCCAATTGACGACCGTCGTATCTGGAAATCGTGCTCACAACGCCAGATACGATCGACCCGACAATGCCATTTTTCCTAAACCTTGAACGCGGCGTGGCCAGTGGAATTTCAGGACTCGAATGACGTTATTATGGTGTCATGGACGCCTGAGTAACCTGTGTTTTGGTCTCAAGAAAGGCAGGGCTGTGAACTGCAGCAAATAATCTTCAAGATGGCTATTTCAGCCCAAAATCCCATACAGATATCGTACATCCTCTTTGAACCAACTCGTGGCTGGCGCATGTACCTGGCCCCGAATAAACAGGGCCACGCTGGGACGCAGGGCAAAGCAAAAATCAAGAAAGGAGGACAAGGACTGAAAGGAGGACTGTACGTTACCTTGATAGCCATCCGTAATGACAAACAATCGGCAGGCTGTTTTAACTAGTTATGGCTTGTTCAGTGAAGCCCTTAACCACCTGGCTGCTTCGCCATGCTGTTTTATAGACGCACCGTGCGATATGGCTGGGCCGGAATGATACTCTTTCAAACTATGACCCCTTTTATTAACCGGATATGAATCGCATTTTACATTTGGTTACAGCTTGAGCACCTTTGGTCAGGGGGCATGAGACCGACTATCTAAGGTTAGAGCAACGCTTGTTTCTAGATCATCGGTCTGAATGCACATTTCCGCGTCAGCAGAGACGACAAGTGACATTCATCACCGGAGGTGTCGCCCGGCCGTTACGACAAGGTACAGATGTCTAAACGTCTGACGCAGCTTCTGTCGCATTATCACGCCGTATCGACCTGTTACAGATCTCTCAAGATGGCCGTCGCCACGAACAAATCCGTCTTAGATCGGTAAGCTGCGCTTTCTGCACTTAATTCCCCCCTGCATTGAGCTTTAATCCTCGATGAAAAAGTGAGCGTTCCGTTCAGGTGTGCGACTTGAATTAAAATCGACATGTCTGATGCGTTGGACGGTGCATTTCTGGCTTTACATGACCATAACCAACAATAACTGATTATATCATAAATGGCCCAGCCATTTCTGATCCGGTTTCAGGCTGACACTGATGTTCTCGATCCCAAAGTGGTCTTCCATCTGAAATTACCCCGATTGCTTGATTCTGATGTGAGCTTATTGATGGGTAAAACCTCCTCCTCTAAGCGCGATGTTTGCTAGCCTTATGGTGGAACTAAATTTACTGAACTGCATCATCCGAGAGCGATGAGGCTAGTTCAAAATATTACCAGAAGCTATCATAATAATTCAAGTCACATTTTGTAGTCAATGGGTGGCAGATATGATGAAACGGTCGTGAAGAAAACAGATAACTGCAAGCCAGAGACTGCGCAACACTCAGCTGTCGCGAACGCTGCGGGGTGTTTGCCACCAAACCCGGCCTTGATGCGTCACTGCGTGTCAGTGTTTTGGCACCTCTCCCACCCTGAGTAGGCCGGCCGACGCCGTACCACCGCCCCTGACCCCGCCCCTGACCCTGCCCGCTGGCGACCGGCGGCCCGGCCCGCAGGTACATGCGGCTGCCGCTGCCCGACGCCTCCACACAGTGCATGTACGTCTGGGTGGACGGCACTGGCGAGAACCTGCGAGCCAAGACCAAGACTGTGGGCTTCGCTCCCAAAACGCCCAGCGGTGAGTGCCGTGCCGCGATCTGGGACATCGGGGAAGGGGAGGGGGAGGGAGGGCACGGGCGCGGAGGTCGATGGTGCCACGATGATTCAGCTTGAGGTAGGGTGTTTTTACACGTCACCTGGTACTTTTCACAGCGGTGGCACTGGCACGAGAAAGGTGTTTCAACTCGGAGCACAAAATTGTTGCCGTACGTGTCCCTGCAATAAGTTGCCGCATGTCCCCTCGCCACACGCTCGTTGTCCTATTGTAGTGTGTTGCTGCCGGAGCAAAGCATACACAATCACAGGATTTGGCTTTCCAGACCGCAAGTTTAAGTTCTAAGCTATCGAAATGCATTTCCTCGTGTTTATCGTCCTGCTATCCCGGTCTGCCCCACCCTCCGGCACCATTGCCGCCTGTTCCACAACGCAGTCGTGTCGTCGGCTCAGGGTCACGTGGGCCTCGCGTGCACGTGCTCCGTTCAGGCGTGGTTTTGGTTGGCAGTGTCTGCGTTGCCAAACAATCTCCAGCTCCCCCACACCGAGGCCAGCATTCCCCCTCTCCCACTCAGACCCCTCCAATACGTGCACAACTGCGGTTGATTCCCTCCACATCTGAACTTCGGGGAATCGTGGAAACGGCCGATATTGCCATGTTCGGGGAATCGTGCAAACAGCCGACGAACTGGTGTCGTTGAGCGTTGGATTGTCCCGTGGTCCGCAAAACCGGTGGGTTTGTACTGTACTGTGGCTTGGAATGCATCGTCACCTGACAAAGGGCGTCAGCTTTAAATAGCGCATGAGACCGCCGATTTTCCACTGATCTTTTTAGGAGGCAGAACTGGTGGGAATGCACGGAAAACGGCATGGTTACAACGTGACAGGAACTTTTGTCCAAGCGTGACCAAAACATGATTTTGACCGATTCACACATCGGTTATAGACGTGGTAGAGACTCATGTGCGCAATACGACAGGGGCTTCGCGACATATCAGTTGTATACACACAATGTACACAGGACAGGCACGATGACGGAGCGGCCCGCCTGTCCGCAGAGCTGCCGATCTGGAACTTCGACGGCTCGTCGACGGGCCAGGCGGAGGGCAGCAACTCTGACGTGTACCTGTACCCGGTGGCGCTGTACCAGGACCCGTTCCGGCTCGGCGCCAACAAGCTGGTGCTCTGCGAGACTTACAAGCACAATCGGCGGCCGGCGGGTGAGTCGAGGCGGGACGACCGCTGGCGCTGACGAGGTCAGAGCGGGCTCACCCCTCGTAGGGCGCCCTCTCGTGAGGATGAGGTTCGGAGGGCTGATGAAGCGGACGAGTGACTTTGAAGGAGAAAAGTGTGTGTCTGGTACCTTGCACACGTTGCATACATGTCTTGTCGAATACCGATGCAGAGTTCAGAAATCTGAAAGTGAGTAGCGGTAGGAGGTGGAGTCGCATTTCGCTTCCTCCCGGGCTTGATTTTCATGGCGGTCAAAGCGAAAAAGACTTCAAAATACCTCCTGCCATATTGCAGGTTACTTGTGTTCAAAATAAGATCTCTCAACTTTCTTCATGGAGCCTCTTGACGCTGCATCCCAGCAAACCGTCAAAACAAACTGCTCTCATCCCATTGCGACGCAGTTCAGCACAGCCCAAACCCTCATAACGCACCCTGTTCTCGGTCGGCGTAGACACCAACTTCCGCCACACGTGCAAGGAGGTGATGGACCAGGCCAACAACCAGCACCCGTGGTTCGGCATGGAGCAGGAGTACACGCTGCTCGACAGTGACCAGCACCCATTCGCCTGGCCCAAGAACGGCTTCCCGGGACCGCAGGGGCCCTACTACTGCGGCGTCGGCGCCTCCAAAGTGTACGGCCGGGACGTGGTGGAGAGCCACTACCGCGCCTGCCTCTACTCGGGCGTCATGATCGCCGGCACCAACGCCGAGGTCATGCCCTCCCAGTGGGAGTTCCAGGTGAGGTTTTGAAGTCGGGGCGTTACAGTCGGAGGTCCAGGTCAGTGAGGTCAGGTCACGGAAGAGATAGTGTTCCAAAGGGTACGCGCTATGCCGTGTGAAGCATGTTACCGGAGAAGTGAGAACAACATCAGAAGGCCAGCATTGCATTATATGATAAGCTAAGGTGTATAACACCATCGATTCTACCCTTCCATCCGCGTGGTATGCTTCAAACTTTTCGAAACCGCAGGAATACGAACGTTTATACCGTTCGGAATCGAAAAGGGCGAGACAAGCACCCACAAGCACAGCCACGAAAAATAGTAACGTCACTCGATCCGGACTGGACTGGAGCTGACCTCAATCGCGCCCGTCACCAAAGACCGAGGGGAAGGAGGGGATGGCTTCACGTGTCTCCTCCGCGGTCGTGACCCGGCACACGCTCTTCATAGGTGGGTCCGGCCGAGGGGATCCGGATGGGTGACGACTTGTGGATGGCGCGCTTTCTGCTGCATCGCGTGGCCGAGGACTTCGGCATCAGCGTTTCGCTCGACCCTAAACCGATTCCGGGAGACTGGAACGGCGCCGGCTGTCACACCAACTTCAGCACGCTCGCCATGCGCGAGAAGGGCGGCATCAGGTGGGTCGTGTACACACGCAGGCTTGCAGCGGCGATGCAAATTTGGCGAGCGCTTTCTGCCTAGGCCATCGCCAGAGTAAGCAGAGTTGTAGTTAAGGGTTGGGTTATGTTGCCAAAATAATCGACCTTTAGAACCTAGGGAGATGCTGGTTAAGCCAAACAAACATTGGCTATGTTGCGTTCCCTCAGTAACGCCTTGGTCATGTTCAGTTCTCAATGTGCCCAATGGTGTCTTGATAACATCGCGTAATCACATCGTCCTGGTATCTTGAACGTTAATTATTTTCAGCGCTGAAAAGTGCCACCTCATCATACGGCGAAACCTGTAACTCAAGGCCTCTTGCATAACGCGTAATTCTGGGAAAGCTGGCCGTTATATAAGAGAACAGGTCTGGCCAGACGAAAGGCCTGGTGGTGCGAGCTGTAACTGAAGCGACAGACCGCAGGCTCTGACTCCGCGGTGAAGGAACGCCGCGCTGCACCCAGCAACTCCGCGCTTGGGATGGGTCACGGACATCGTCTGATGACATTATTTCTGAAGGGATGGGTCGGCCACATACTCAAGCCGTTAGGCCCTCCCACCCCCCCCCCCCCCCCCTCTTTGTGCCACTCGCTGCGAAGGATCATTAAGTGGCGCTGGCCGCCAAATGGACTTTTGCCAATTCTGGAGACTGCTTGAACTGCATGGCGTGTTGCCTGCCGGGAGGCAGGGGTACTTCACGGCCGGTGGGCAGTGCTAAACCCGGCATGAAGCGATGACCTATTGTGCTCCCCGTCTCTTAAGCATTTAGTCAACGCCGTCTCATAGAAATACATCGATTTCGTGGACACAGATTTAACATGGATCACTATGGGTGGAGCTTGAAATGCTTTTGAGAAAAGACACATGCATTTAAAAAAAATATTGCTGAACTTAAACATCACGGGCGTTGTGTGGTAGCACAAGCTAGTATTCAGTAATGTCGTCCTCTCATCTTGAATCCGCTGTGAACAGTGAATTGCGTGATTAGTATTGGATTGGACTTAGTATTCGTTGTGTGGTCGCTCCGTATTTTGCGATAAGCGACGCACGTTACCTCTATATGTCGTAATGTATGCAAGGTGTGAATATTTCAATCCCCGCAATCCAGGGTCTCGATCCCAGCAAGAGTTAGGTAGGAGAAGAACCAGTTGACAAACCAGTTTCAGTCTCGATCATGTGCCAAGTGTCTTGGAACACAGCTAATTCAAAACATCCATGGGCTCCAAAAGTTCGTCGAACTGTTGTCCTCCGCATTTGTTGGCAGCGTCAGCTGTGTTTGCAGTTGGCTAGCGGGCGCCTGCGATGTTGACCCAGTGCTTGCCATAAATCGCCACCTCAGCCAGATGGTGGCGGTGTTTTGGACAGCTGGTAGAGGTTGGATAGTGGCGATGTTTTGGACAGCTGGTAGAGGTTAGATGGTGGCGGTGTTTGGGACAGTTGGTTGGGGCCGGACAGTGGCGGTGTTTTGGACGGTTGGTAAGGGCCAGACAGTGGCGGTGTTTTGGACAGCTGCTGGGTTCGGACAGCGACGGTGTTTTGGGCACTTGGTTTGGACCGGATAGTGACGGTGTTTTGGACAGCTGCTGGGGTCGGACAGCGGCGGTGTTTTGGGCACTTGGTTTGGACCGGATAGTGACGGTGTTTTGGACAGATGATAGGGGCCAGACAGTGGCGGTGTTTCGGACAGATGGTAGGGGACCAGTGGAAGTACAGCTGACCCGTGGTCTATAGCCGGTCACCTCAATGCCCTGGTCGTGGAGTACGGCGGTTCAGTGCAGCATCAGGCGTGCCGTGACTCGGAAGAAGAAAAAATCACCTTGTGGTACAGTCATCTGGCTAGCTACCTTTCTCTGCTCAGTTATGGACGCTCAAGCTAGCTAGGGTTTGTTCGGAGACCGCGATTCTATTCCACCTGGTGTGGCCTGCCAAAGAGTTGTGTTTAGTTAAGTTTGTAGAAACTTACAGCACACTCGCTGTATTTTGGAGCATTTATGCCACATATTTTCTATGCCAAAGCTTCCTTTTAGCCCTTTAACATTTCTCCAGAACGTCGGTTGAACACTCTTGTTGAAAACATGCAGTATACTCGCCATATTTTTCAGTATTCATGTCATATATTTCCAATCCCAAAAGTTTCTCTTTACTCTTAAACAAGTCTTCAGGATGTTGGCTTTAACGCTCACTACATATCACTACGGGACTATATTATTACGCAATAGAAGAGCGTGCCAGATAATTCCAGCTTCAGTTTGGCAGCGTCGTAGTCAGAATGCCGTTTTTTTTTATTTACTTCGTTTTGGTCGTAGCTCTTCACGTTACGATCACAAATAGAGATAACGTCAAGTGCAAAGGTAGCAATGGTGTTCGGGCGTTCGGGAATTTCTGGCGTTGAAAAAGGGCTCCGTTGTTGAAATAAGAATGTTTTATTCGTCCTTCAAAAACGCGTATGGTGAGGGCAATCCTTATGACGGTATTAAGCGACCATTTGAACCATAATTCTCAGCAGGACGCCACTCAACTGCTCCAAATCGTCACCTTGCATTTAAGTAGTATGTCTCTTGCTTTCAGCTAAAGATCGCTGCAGTGTACTATGTCAAAAATAGTTTAACACAGCTGATGTTATTAGAGGTCTGTTTTCCATGCGGAAGTTGCCTTGCAGTAACCGTTCATTTTTCATGCTGTGAAAGAAACATCTTAAACCGGTGCGAAAACAACTATGCAAAGATGCCGCAGTACTGTATTCCAAGGCGGGCTTAGGCGATCCAAATGGTGTTCGCTGCATTTCGGTCCTAACCGACGCCTGGACAAGAAGAAGATATCAAATATCAACGCCAGCCACCTGATCTATATGGGATCAGTCAGGTGTGGGTCAATGAAAGTTACCGGAAGGCAAACACCGTGCGCGGTACTCAAACGTGACGTCACATCTTGCTATTTTACGGCGGCGTCTCTCAACAGGCCCCAGGAGCCCCGACTCCATGCAGCTTGTTGATTTCCCTGTCGTGGCTGCGCTGTTTGACCTCGGGGCCATCTCCCCCCCTCCCCCCCCCCCTACTCGCTCGATCGAGCTCCGCGCCCCGCCAGCTCACGTCTTTCGCCCGCGTCCCGACAGCCACATCGAGAAGGCGATCGAGGCTCTGGGCGCCAACCACCAGCGCCACATCCGCATGTACGACCCGAAGGAGGGTCGTGACAACGAGCGGCGGCTCACCGGCCTGCACGAGACGTCCAGCATCCACGACTTCTCGGCGGGTGAGTGGCGACCGGCCGGCCCTCGCTGTCGCGCGTCTGCTGAGGCGACGGCCTCTGCCGCTCTGCGGCCAGCTGCTGCTTTGGAAAACTGAGCGCAGACCAAGCTGCTGCTGTTGAGCCACCGAGGCTGGCCAGAAAGCTGGCGCAGCTCCGTTATCTCTGGCATCCAGCCGTCCCGAAAGAGGGGGGGGGGGGGTGCACCCGTGTTGTGGTCGGCAGTCCAGACAGGCGGCCATCTCCCCGCCCCGCTGCTACAGGAGTCGAGGTCAAGGACTCTGCGCGAGCTCCTTTTTGTCTGCAGTGGCGTTAGACCCGCACGCTGAGCCCTACCGCCGGCGAGGTCAGGCGGAGCTTGAGAGTCATTTTCAAGGCATCGCCAGCGCGCTATCTCCAACGCGCGGTCGGCGACCCGAAAACTTGCTTGTTTTACCGTTCGACCACCCATTCAGCGGTGCCATCTGTCGCATTTGATTTGCTTGCAGCTGAACTGCTGCTGATGTTAGTGGCTACTTGTCATGTTGACATGTTTGTGAACCGGTCGCACAGGTCAACATACCTTGCGTTCATCCACTGTTTACGTCGCCCATGCTGCTGCCAGCTGAGCCGCTACTGCTGCCGCCACTACCGTCTGTGCCGACCGTCCGCTCTGCCCGCCCTCCAGGGGTGGCCAACAGAGGAGCCAGTATCCGGATCCCGCGCCAGGTGGCGGAGGAGGGCCAGGGCTACCTGGAGGACCGGCGGCCCAGCTCCAACTGCGACCCATACCGGGTCACTGAGGCCATCGTTCGCACCATCTGTCTGAACCAGTAGCACAACACGACGTCCTCCCCATCAGAGAGGCGCGGACGAGACGGGCCTGCGAGGCACGTGTGCGGAGGGCATGCCATTGACACGGACCCCCAGGGCCCGAAATGACACCAGTCCGCCGATGTTTATATGCAGCTACAGAGACATCATCCGCCCCCAATTCCCTCATTCTTGCTTTATTCTGCTTCCTCGTGACACCCCGTTTATCCGGGACAGGCTACATGCACCAGCCATGAGAGTCCCCAAGCGCCCCCTGGTGGAGGCCCGTCCGAGCAGCAAGCACAACTCCTGGGGAGGACTCCCTGCGCGGGCCAAATCTTGGCGGCAGGACCCCCAGGTGCGTGTAGTCGTGCCTCATCGCTACCCACTCTTCTTCATCCGATAGGCCTGAAATGGTCATGGCTAGCCGACTGGACCCTAATCCGAGCGACCAAATCCGACAGAGACTCTCACCATCATCTGCGTACGTGTGTTTCCGCTTTTTGAGGTGATACTTGAAAGGATAGTGAGCATTATGTAATATGTTGCAGCTTAACAGCCAGGCAAACGGGAACTTGCAGTGACCAGTGGTGGAGGATGAGACGAAGTTTTGCGAACAGCGTTTCCTTTCATGCTATCTGTGCAGCGACTGACCGCATTTTACAGTGCCAATACTTGTGTGCGTTGTTTTGGTATATAACACTGCATCCGTGGTGATGAAGAGGACATAAGCTACGCATAGCTTTGGTGCATGCACCACTGGATGAATCGGTTTATATGCCGCTGGTGGGGGCGTCTGAAATGATTTGGGAGGCACGGTTCGCTGTAGAAGCGTGAATCTCGTCGATGGATACTTATAGCAGCGTTGCTATCATATCCTCCATGTCCCTTAGGTCCCCCTGGTGTCTAGCACCAGAGATAGACAGTCTAGGAGCAAGTGCTGTGCGTAGAGGTCCTTTAGGCTTCCCACCCATTCCGGGGCTTGTCATTACCATTGGTTCAAGACGCCCGGACGGCGTCATGTTCTGTGGTGCGTCGTAGTCTTAGTGCGGCGTGTGAACATTTCGCCACCGCTCTGCAGTGTATGTCCAAACCGCAGTGATCGTGTCATCGCATGTTTAAACGCGTCAAGTGGAATGAATATATGAATGGTCCCGGTCATTATTGGTGGTCAGGCTCTCCAGAGGCTGATGCTGATGAGACCCAGAACCCAGAGGGGGGTGTTACCGAGGCTCAGAGCCCAGAGCGCGATGATAATGAGGTTCAGAACCCAGAGAATGATGCTACTGAGGCTCAGAGCCTGGAGACTGATGCTACTGACGCTCAGAGCCCAGAGAGTGATACTACTGAAGCCCAGAGCCCAGAGAGCAGTGCTACTGACGCTCAGAGCCCAGAGAGTGATGCTTCTGAGGCTCAAAGCCCAGAGCGCGATGATAATGAGGTTCAGAGCCCAGAGACTGGTGCTACTGAGGCTCAGAGCCCGGAGACTGATGCTACTGACGCTCAGAGCCCAGAGGGTGATGCTACTGAGGCTCGGAGCTCGAGAGTAATGCAACTGAAGGTCAGGGCCCAGACAATGATGCTACTGAGGATCAGAGCCTAAAGACAAGTGACTTGGATGCAGTTATACAGCCGGTAGCACGAGCTCGCTGTCCAACATCAGATATTTCCATTCTCAATAGGCTGATGCAATGACAGACGATTCTTATTCCTGGAAGATATAAACTCAATGCAAGTTCGTTTCAGGCGAATCTGAACGTAAAAATCAGAGCTTGTGTGGTCATCAGAAAAAGCTTTAACGCCCCCCCCCCCCGACACTTAGGGTAATGGGGTGGTTATTATGGCGTGCTCCCACAGTCAGCTGGGCCGTTTAAGGGATGTTCCACCTTTACAGATATTGAAGCAAGCATAGGATATGATGAAAATATGTTCATTTATTTTACTGGTATACTCTTATGTGGAGAAGTCTGCTATTACCTGTTATAAGCCAAGCTTTAGTTTTCTAGTTCCATCATCAGATTCCAGGACCACTTTGCATTGCTGTACAGGCCATTCATCAATCTAAAAACCGCATAGGTGAAATATACGCCAGGAATATCTCTGCATGTAAGATTTTGTGCATGAAGCGTTCAAAGGGACTTCTTTCGAGTGCATCATTATTTTCGTCCACTTGTTGGCTACGCCTGGTGTTGGCCGCGGGCCCGACGCTCTGCGGCTTCCGGATACTGCAACGCCTGGCGTCGAGGTCTTTATTGCTAAGATATGCGAGCGCTTGCTCAAAATTACGTTACGCAATTTGCATCACCAATAACGATTCTGGCGAAATGTTCAACATGTCCAGACAAACATGGCTTGACCATGTTAATGGAAATTGTTGGACCATTTTTATTTTCAAGCCACATTTGCGGGGCTCTTGATATTCCTGCACAACCTAGACAAAAATACCGACAAAGTTTCAGCGTTCTATATCGGCTTAAGAAGACCACTGGACTATTATAAAATGAAGAGCGCCATCGATTCATTTGATGCAGTCATTTAATGCATGACCTTTTCGGTTCAGTGACTTTAGAAACTTCAAGCAGAATTTATCTTGCGGTGGCGCCAGGCCTTCATTTCAGTTATAGAAGGTAAACGCGTGTAATGTATATATGCATATACATATACATACATATATATATATATATATATATATATATATATATATATATATATATATATGTCTAAGAACACAATGCCTCCACCAACAAATATCCCATACGACAGTTTTTTCCGGGGGGGGGGAGCTGTCACTTTCAGGGGCCCTTTGTCAACCATGTGCCCCCCTTGCCAAGGCTCTGGCTCCGTTTTGTGAAAAACGGCAAATCAGTGTGGTCGATGTTTCCAGATTGCATCTTGACGCTATTTTAAGACGTTGTCCTCTGCAAAAACGGTAGGCTGGGTCCGTTTTGTCCCGCTCCGTCTGATCCCTGATGGATTATGGTTAGGCGACAGCTGGGTTTGACAGGATAAAACTCGGTAGCATGAAGAGCACCTCGGTTCCCTTCATCCTGCCTTGCAGCATCTTGATTCATTGTCCCTCATTCCTCGCGTTCCTCACGTCTCCCGAGAGCTCAGCAGCTTCTTAATCTTTGTGTCTACTGTGTGACCTAGATCTTCGAAACGATGGCCCACTGAGCGTGCGACGCTGTCGGCAGTCTTGTTCTAGAACGAAGCCTTTCTGGACTCGTGTCCTAATTTCGGCGCCCGTTGAATCAGCGGACACCTCGGCTCCGGTGTGTGCCATGCCCTCTTCAGATCGCAGTCGGTGCCGCCTCGCCTCGCCGGCGCTCTCAGGTCACCGAACTTGGAGCGGTCCCGACTGGAGCCAACTGATGATTCAGTGCGAACATGGGTGGTGATTGTCCATGTCCATGTACTGGGCCCCAACAAAGGTGGTGTCGCGTAAGCTGGATCAAAGGTAAATATTTTTATGCCTGTGTTTGCGGCTTCCTAGTGTCTGTGCTACTAGTCACCATTGTGATGTTGTTTTGCACATGACTAGGGAAACGGAGCGGTCGGGTGAAGGCAGCATAAAACGGGCGTCGTGTGTTCATATCTGCTACAGGTTGGGGTGCAACGTCATGAAACACCCTCAGAGGACATATCAGATGGCAAACAATCCGACATCACTTCATCACTCCAACATTGCACAGCGGTAGAAAAATGGACTACATGTTCATACAATGGACTACAAATGGACCAAGCTCGGTTTTCCCCGCCCGCCTGACGCCAGTTCTGCGCATGCTACGCTTGAGTTCGCCACTTACATTTTGAGGTGACTTGGTGCTAGACTACTGTTCATTTCTGGATGAGTTAGCGAAGAAGCCAAGTTTTCTTGGAATATGCGTACATTCCCAAGTTGAACGGCGCGGTCCCGCGTGGATGCCATGCCTCCTATTGGTGTTTTTTTTTGCGCCCACTGATCACAAATTGGTGTAGTGTCGTGTCAAGCTATATAAATGACAAAGCATTTACACGTAAGTTCAGTTCTAACAGGATTGTGTTGCTACGACTTTTCGATATCACCATGATATTGCACCCGGAGGCGAGAACGGTGATGCGCGTTGCATACAAGCCGTCTTTAACCGCCTCGGGGCTGTTCAAGGCTTTAGTCAGATCTCATAGACCAGAACAGACGGACGGGACGCCAGCTGCGCAGTGTAGCTAAGGGGACCTGTCTCGCTTTACTGGCGGACAGCATCCTGTGCGACCCGCAGGTGAGTCAGAAGTTGATCAGAAAACGATCAATGTCGCCCCCAAAAAAGACGCTGGTGCTTAAACAGAGATCGATTGCACTGGGAACACCTCACAGACGTGCAGCTGTTACTGTCGCATGCCCCCCCCCCCCCCTCCCCAAAAGCGTATATTGCAACCTCGCCGCATTTGCCACGAGAGCAATCATTATAAATTTGTTGATGTCGCCGATTAAATTGTCAGGACGGACCAAGCCCAGAGTTTTCTTCAAAGAAGCAGGACCTTGAGCTATTGATTTTCGGCACGAGTTGGGAAAACTTACGGCGACAAAACACTACCTTCAGTATACCAGGAGGTACCGGCCAAATGACATTATCTGACAAGCAATGGTGCTATCGGCAAAGCCCCTCACTTCAAACTGTCCACGCACGGCTACTCGTGACCATGAGGTCGGCGCTGTTGGCTCGGCCGGCGGCCGGGCCGTCGGCCAGCGCCGCCTCGCGCTGTCTGCTGGCTCAGGTTCGGTGCCGCATCAGCGGTTCCGCGCTCAACCGCGTCGTAGCCGTCGTCGCAGCGGACAGCCGCGTCGCACCGGACGTCGCAGCGGATGTCGATTCGACGATTCAGCCCGTCGCTGTCTGGACGAACGTCCGCCGCCTGTCGCCGGTCGACACGGGGCCCGTCTCGGGGAGTGTATTGCCAGACATGGACAAGGTTAAACGACTCTGCGCGCGCGCGCGCCATCGGACACCGCCCTAGCGGCGAGCGTGTCGTGCGGCAGGCGCCCAGACACAACCGACGCCCAGCACACTGTGGAATATCGACGAGACTGCTCGGCTCCGCCGCCGGCGACGGAGCCAATCGGAATACGGGGCGCGCAGAGGCGCGAACGCACGCGACAACACAGAGAGACAGAGAGACGGAGAGAGCCGTCGGGAGACGAGCAGACAGCTGCGCCAGGAGACGAGCTGACGGAGACAGGGTCTGTCGAGGAGACCGACGACACAGAGACGGCTAGGCAGAGAAGTGGGCGACGCAGGCCCCCCGGCGACAGCAGCGGCGCACACTAGACGCGAGATTCTGAATCACCAACGGGGAGACGTACGAGACGCGGGCTGAAGCATACACATGTACACAGACTAGCCAGAGACAAACTGCCACAGAGTCTGGGAGGTGGCGCCGGACCAAAGCTCCGAAGATGCGCTCGCAGCAGAGCGCCGCAGACATGGCGATGAGAGCGGACGTCATCGACAGATAAGCACCGCAAGCAGCACAGCACATTCCAGAGCGGTTCTTCCATTGAACAGTCTAACAGTTAACACTCATAGATATATTGTAGATTTAAGCTTGGGAAATGGTTCGAAATGCCCCTCAGACACAATTATTCGGATCTTCCATAAACTCAGAGATAAAGATCCGACATGTAGCAGCGGTGCCAAAAAAACGGCAACTCATAAGCGGAGCACGGCGTCATGGGAAGCTACAGTTCTGTACTTACGGGTTTCCCGCAAAATCATAGCAGGGTCAACTGAGCAAAGGCTTTCATCCACACTTTGATACGGTGTCAAGCAACCAAAGGCACGCCACACCCACACGAGACGTGGCTCCCAAAACATCGCCGAACGCCTCTCCTACCCACCGCCGTTCGAAATCGGCCAGACCACAACATAATCGAAAGACGCATCGCTAGACTGGTCTGGAGCAGGGCGTTTGGCGAGCGGCGCTCAGATGACGGTGGCGCCGCCCCGCGGTCAGACGGTGCCGCCGCTTAGCGAGCTAGCGGCACCAGCACCGTGACGTAGGACACCGGGAAGTAGCCGCTGCGGCCGTCCAGCGTGCCCTCCAGCCAGTTTTCATCGATCTGCTGCGTCAGGGAGATGACGTTTCCCTCCTGGAATTACCGACAAGACGCACTGATTCCAACCGCACCCAGCACGCATCCACAACACAGAATGGTCGCGCCGAATCTGACGTCATCGGTACGAACGGCGACCGCGACCAAGCTTTGGCGCGGACATGCCTAGCATTTTCAGCGAAATCAGCCAGCTGGCAGAGCCGCCGCGCGCGGCCAGCCGCCCAGCGGAGTCCGGCCGCGAGCACCGCCGCGTACCTTGAAGCCCAGCTCGCCGGCGTTCTCGGGCTGAAAGTCGTACAGCGCCTGGGCGCTGGGTCCGGTCCGGCTCGGCGTTCGCGCCGGGGAGCGCATCGGAGACGGCAGCGGCGACGCTGCGGCACGGCACGGCTGTCAGCGGCGCCGGCCACACCGGCGACCGCGGGCGCGGGGGCAGCGGCCCCGCGGCGCGGCGCGGACTCGCACAGAAATACGACGGCGGGCACCGTCGCAGACGCAGGCATGGGGGCTCGGCCCATGACCCAGAACACGGACCGGGGATAGTTAAGACGGACGGCACCCAGGTGGCGTCAGTGATAGCCGCCATGTCCCGACACGTAAGCAAACGTGCTCACGCACGCAATGACGTACGTAGAGAAACCGCAACGCACGCTGTCGCACACTTTCACAAGGAGGAGAAATCCATTTTTCCTCACACATCCTAGCCACTCCTGGTGGTAGGAAGGTGATCTAATAGTCAACGTAGCTCAGTTATCGCTCAAGAAAACACACAGCACCACCGCAGATCAACCCGCTCTCGGGGTTGAGCGTTTACAGAACAGTTTTTAACAAGATCAAGAGCAACGCTACACACGACTTTGAACGTTTGTCCACGCCAATGTACAACAACCGTTTACCCACAATTGTTTCCAAGGCGACGACAGCTAAAGTGCGGGACATCGGCATAACGGCAGCTGTGCCATATGCCGCAACATTCTGCTCAAAAGACTTCCTCACACTGCGACGCGGAGGCCCATGAGTTCCAGCTCAGTCATCATTAACTCCAGCGACGGCAGATCACGAAAGTTATGAACATAAGTGCCGAAGCTGAAAGTTAAGTACACCGAAGACAACGTTGAAAGCCACGTATAGCCCGAGGACCGCAGCGTCATTGCTTGTGAAGCGCCAGCACGCTACGCTAGCTGGCAGGCCACCCTCCAACGCCGGATGCAGACAACAGTGAACTCTACACAAACAGACATCTATGGGACAACCGTGTGAGAGCATCGCATCAGGTGCGACCTTCCGACGCAGGCAGAAGGGGTTCTCCGCGACAAACAGGCCACGACAAAATGCATCGCAACATCGAGGTAACACCAACCGCCGGCAGCGCGATCGAGTGTAGCTAAGGCTTTCTACTGCAGACTCGAAAGGCTACGGGCTACATCAAGGGCAGGCCGATGCGACGCCGACCGGCCGCCGGCTGACGGCGGTCGAAACGCCTGACCACGGGCCATGTGACGCCGCCCAGCGGAGCACGGCGAGCGGCAGGTCCGCGCAGAGGGTGGAAGGCACGGTGCAGCTACGCCTTCGTCAGTGCGCGCCGTGCGATCTAACGACGGCTACCACTACGGCCCGCGAGCTGGCAGGTGCAGACTACCGACGTTACTGGAGCACCCCCGAATGGGCTGCCGGTGCCGCATCAGGGACCACGGCTGCGGCCGTCAGTACATGTCGGTATTCCTACGGGTGCTGGTGCACAGAGAGAGGCGTGCGGCGGACGTGACCGGCTGCCGCGAACCCGTCCAGCCGGCGGGGCGTTCTCAGTGTGGCGACGGCCCGGGGCGCCGGTCAGTCAAGCTCGGAAGGACAGGGGAGGGGTTGTCGAGGTTCGTGATAGCCCTCTCTCTCTCTCTCTCCTCTCTCCCTCTCCCTCTCCCTCTCCCTCTCCCTCTCCCTCTCCCTCTCCCTCCCTCTCCCTCTCCCTCTCCTCTCCCTCTCCCTCTCCCTCTCCCTCTCCCTCTCCCTCTCCCTCTCCCTCTCTCCCTCTCCCTCTCCCTCTCCCTCTCCCTCTCCCTCTCCCTCTCCCTCTCCTCTCCCTCTCCCTCTCCCTCTCCCTCTCCCTCTCTCCCTCTCCCTCTCCCTCTCCCTCTCCCTCTCCCTCTCCCTCTTCCCTCTCCCTCTCCCTCTCCCTCTCCCTCTCCCTCTCCCTCTCCTCTCCTGCGGTCCCTCTCCCTCTCCTCATCCCTCTCCCTCTCCCTCTTCCGCTCTCCCTCTCCCGCTCCCCTCTCCCTCTCCCATCCTCTCTCTCTCTCTCCTCCATCTCCTCCTCTCTCTCTCTCTTCTCTCTCTCTCTCTCTCTCTCTCTCTCTCTCTCTCTCTCTCTCTTCTCTGGCTCTCTCTCTCTCTCTTCTCTGGCTCTCTCTCTCTCTTCTCTCTCTCATGGCCTCATCTCTCTCTTCCCGTTACCGACGGAGAGGGCGGGGTATGACCTCCCCATCATAGGACGAAGCAGCCACCGCCAGGGGCGGACAGGATGGCTTCCGAGCTCCCGGAAGGGCGGGGCGGCGTTACCGGCAGGGGACGCTGGCGGCTGGCCGCTGGGAAACAGCGGCTCCAGTCCCTTGACCGAGTCCGGAGTCGGCAGCGGCGAGTGCTGCGGCGTTCGCGTACCTGTCCCGCCGCGCACACCGCCGTCAGCGCACCACCCACGCACGGGGACCGCGTGCGGCGGCGGGCGAGAAGCCGACCACTCCGATGGGAGGGGGGGGGGGGGGGGCGGGGGCCGCCGGGCGGAAGCCAACCACGCGGTGGTTGGACGGGTTGCCAGACAGACAGAGGGCTACTACCACACTGTCAGCAAGCACGCGTGGAAGAGAGCTGACGATGAAGACAGACACAGGAGGCCCACACACAGAAACTGCAGGGCAATCAAGTTTCACCGCCGAGTCTCACAGGGTAAGAATACAGCTGAGCAATAATTAGGGGAAATGCCTCAGGAGCGTACGTCGTGATTTGCATGAGGAAGACAGCGTGTCACGTAGAATGCATGTGGACGGGTGTAATCGACGGTATGGGTAGAATAGTTGGTGAGCGTGAGGTTAGGAGCCGAGGGGCGCGGGCTAAGTGATCGGATACAAACGTGATGTGTTACAATTGGATTGAGGCTGCAGTGAAAAAGACTAAGTGATGAGAGCGTGAATGACTGTCAAATTAGTGGACAACTAAGACATACATGTGTGTGTGTGTGTGTGTGTGTGTGTGTGTGTGTGTGTGTGTGTGTGTGTGTGTGTGTGTGTGTGTGTGTGTGTGTGTGTGTGTGTGTGTGTTGTGGTGTGCGTTGTGCGTGTGCGTGTGCGTGTGCGTGTGAGTGTGCGTGTGCGTGTGCGGTGCGTGGTGCGTGTGCGTGTTCGTGTGTGTGTGTGTGTGTGTGTGTAAATGAAGGACGCACGGGTCAGTGACAGGCGAGTACCTGCGATGGTGGACGAGTGCACGGCGAGGGAGTTGCCCAAGCCGACTAGTCTGTGAGCTACTAGCGGTCAATAGCATCCAGCGCCGAGCGCCGTTGGGAGCGGCGGTCACGGGAGGAACGCCCACACCGCAGGACACATCACCCACACGGCACCAGCGAGCGAGCGAGAGACAGCGGGACCATACGCCCTGCGTCGCCCACTGCCATCGGACCGGCGCTCACCGGTGAGCCCGGCGCCCAGGCCGCCATTGGTGCCGTCCGGCCGGTAGATGGCGCTGCTCGCGATCCCCAAGTCGGCCAGCGTCTTCGGCTGGAAGTCGGGCCGCGGCCGCGCCACCGCCTCCTGCTTCTTCTCCAGCAGCGTGTCCTGCAGCGTGCTCAGAATGTCGCTGCACTGGCGGTGGTAGTCGAGGAGCGACTCGGCGAACGTGGCCAGCTGGCTGATTTGCTCCACCTGGCGGCGGCGGCGGCACACGGCTCAGCGCGGCGACGGCGGCGGCGGCACACGGCTCAGCGCAGCGACGGCGGCGGCGGAGGCACACGGCTCAGCGCAGTGACGGCGGCGGCGGAGGCACACGGCTCAGCGCAGCGACGGCGGCGGCGGCACACGGCTCAGCGCGGCGACGGCGGCGGCGGCACACGACCCAGCCCAGCGACGGCGGCGGCGGCGGCACACGGCTCAGCGCGGCGACGGCGGCGGCGGCACACGGCTCAGCGCAGCGACGGCGGCGGCGGCCACGGCTCAGCGCGGCGACGGCGGACGGCGGCGCACGGCTCAGCGCAGCGACGGCGGCGGCGGCCACGGCTCAGCGCGGCGACGGCGGCGGCGGCACACCGCTCAGCGCAGCGACGGCGGCGGCGGGACACGGCTCAGTGCGACGGCGGCGGCGGCGGCACACGGCTCAGCGCGGCGACGGCGGCGGCGGCCACGGCTCAGCGCGGCGACGGCGGCACGAGCGGGAGATCAGAGAAGCTATGCTGCCACCGCCCCGCCACCGTGATGCCTGTTGTACACTGGGCTGCATTGGGGTACCACGTGTCCGGGGGGGGGGGGGGGGGCATCGAGTTCGCATGGCTCATCTCTCATTTCACGTGCTAGAGAAACTGCGCGGCGCTTAATTTTACACGCCCAGAAGGCACACGACACACACAAGTGGCAAGATTGTCGGCGCCTGAGCAACGGCGGACCACCTGGTGGCCTAACCGATCACGTCTGCGCAGCGTTTGTGCCAGAGCCGATTACCGTTCCAGTCTTTCCGTTCAGTCCCTAGGCACACCCCTCATCTGAGCCAGGCGGAGAGACTCACGTCATTCTCCAGCAGGTTGTGCATGCTCATCTGAGCCAGGTGGAGCGACTCGGAGAACTTCTCCTCGGCAAGGCGAATCTCTTCGTCCGGAATCTGCGCCCCTGCAAACGACGGTCACGTCATCGGCGTCATCAGCGCCTTACGACGCACTCCGCCCCCGGGGCTGCATCGCGTTGCCTACCTCTCATCCCGACAGGAGGGGCGGGCACCACGGGGAACCAAACTCAGTCCGTCTGGTTTCCCAGATCGACGGCAACATCACTGCAGACGGACGGTGCCACCAGAGCTGGACGGGTCGGCCCGACCGAGGCGGACCGGCGGCCACCGCCGCGCCTGCAGACGGACGGCACCGCCAGAGCTAGACGGGTCGGCCCGACCGAGGCGGACCGGCGGCCACCACCACGCCTGCAGACGGACGGCACCGCCAGAGGTAGGCGGGTCGGCCCGACCGAGGCGGACCGGCGGCCACCGCCGCGCCTGCAGACGGACGGCACCGCCAGAGGTAGGCGGGTCGGCCCGACCGAGGCGGACCGGCGGCCACCGCCGCGTCTGCAGACCGCAAGGCCGCATGGAAGGGGAGCCGCTCGCCTGCGGCATAGTGTCGGTCGTCGCAGCAGGAGCAGGAGGGTCCCATCAACAGGTGACCTCATGGCCCGGTACAGCCGCCGTACAAAAGGCGGATGATACATGTGTGCGCTACGGATTACGAGGTGGCGCGCGTCACATCAAATCATGACACAGCGCCGACGAATGCACGCCTGATAATTGGGCCAGCGTAGATAGTTGTAAGCCACAAAACCCCCAAAGTCAAGCGCCGCAGGGAAGCACTCGCGGCTCCTGCGCGACACGGGTGGGTTTGTGACCAGCTACGCAACGCCGCGCCACACCAAGCCCCCAAATCACTATGCCCAATAAGGGCGCATTAAACAGCGGCGCATAATTCGCCGTAACGTCGGACCAGACCACGCCGTCTGTTTTATTCAACCTCGCCAGGGGCAGAACCGCCATGGCGCTCCAGCCCAATCAATACCATGACCTTTTGACTGGTGGGGTTGGCTGGCGGGCCGTCGATTTGTTACTTCAAACCCGGCTGACTGAGTCCACGCCTGCCGAATTTGACGGGCCGAGAACGAACGGGCCTGGACGAGCACACAGACTGCGCTGTCGCCTCCCACCCACCGGCTGCAGCACGAAACCTGTCCGCCAGAGTGCCTCTGGCTGCCCGAGTGGGGCGGCGTACCTCTGGCTGCCCGAGTGAGGCGGGTGCCTCGGGGTGCTAGAATGAGGCGGGGTAGCTCTGGCCTCCGGAGGGAGGCGGAGTGCCTCAGGTGCTGGAGAGAGGCGGGGTAGCTCTGGCCTCCGGAGGGAGTCGGAGTGCCTCATGATGGGAGAGGCGGGGTAGCTCTGGCCCTGGGGGAGGCGGAGTGCCTCAGGGTGCTGGAGAGAGGCGGGGTAGCTCTGGCCTCCGGAGGGAGGCGGAGTGCCTCAGGGTGCTGGAGAGAGGCAGGGTAGCTCTGGCCTCCGGAGGGAGGCGGAGTGCCTCAGGGTGCTGGAGAGAGGCAGGGTAGCTCTGGCCTCCGGAGGGAGGCGGAGTGCCTCAGGGTGCTGGGGAGAGGCGGGGTAGCTCTGGCCTCCGGAGGGAGGCGGAGTGCCTCAGGGTGCTGGAGAGAGGCGGGGTAGCTCTGGCCTCCGGAGTGAGTCGGAGTGCCTCAGGGTGCTGGAGAGAGGCAGGGTAGCTCTGGCCTCCGGAGTGAGTCGGAGTGCCTCAGGGTACTGGAGAGAGGCAGGGTAGCTCTGGCCTCCGGAGGGAGGCGGAGTGCCTCAGGGTACTGGAGAGAGGCGGGGTAGCTCTGGCCTCCGGAGGGAGGCGGAGTGCCTCAGGGTGCCAGAGACGAGCGGCGGTGTGTTGCAGCGACTGGCGCTAGATCGATCGCGGGCGCCGTGCGATGAATGCTCTTACGTCTGTTCTCAAACACAGGCACAACCAATAATCGACCAGGGGCGGGCAAAAGCTAGAGGGAGCGTTAATCGGACCACAGCCCAATAAGACACCATCAATGGGCGGCGCTCAAAGGGCGCAGATCCCGCTCCGCTGATCCGAATGCCGGCCTCGTCTCACAAAACGAATCACGGCAGAATTGACGACTCTGGATATCTGACGTCCGCCGGCCAGCTCAAGAGCGGTCATTCAGCGTCCCCGTCACGGCCGCTGAACCGTCGACGAGTGGGATATCGAGCAGCTCGGCCGCTGTCACGGCCAGTTCTCAGCCCGAGCCGGCCGCGATCGCCGTCGGAGCGGAGCCGCGCGGCTCGCCTGCCAGAGCTCGTCTCCAGCGACGTACGCAGCGAGCCGCGAGCGACCGCTTCGCTCCGTCCGCGGGGGCGAGGCACGGACGGGCGCGCCGCGGGAGCTGCCTCTGAGGCCGAGTCGCCGCGACGGCGACACCGATGGCAGGGCGATGCCGCTCGCCGACGAGCCCTGGCGATCGCGTCCCACTGGAGCCGCCGGCCGAACGCTCCGCGGGCGCGCGGCAGCGGGGAAGGCGGCGCGGACCGGACCCCTGCCGTGCGTCCCACTGGTGCCGCCGGTCGGGCGCTCCTGGAGCGGGCGGCAGCAGGGAGGGGGGGGGGGGGGAGGATCGTGGCACATACAGGACCCCGATCGGCGGCGGGGTACCTCAGACTGAGACGACGGGAAAGTCCGTCGGACTATGACGTGCAGCCCTCGTGGAGGTCTCCCTAGCGGCTGTTGACCTACATTCTGCATAAAGTAGTGGGTAGCTATCTTGAGAGCGGGGACAAGCCATAAGCCCCAGCACGTCTCTCTAAGCCCTCATCAGCATGGTGAGGGCTCGAGGCCAAAACATCTGTTGATCCCCCGCTCTTATTCGAGCGGTTCACTGCCCCTTACGGGAAAATAGGCCAAAATCAGGCGGCGGAGCTCTGGCGTCTTTCAACTAATGTTAGGGCCGGGGGCGGGGGTCAGGAAAAGGTCAGCACGCGACAGGGCCGGACCAGACCAGGCTAGACCGCGAACTTCCAGCTGACATGTCATCCCAGCCCTATTGTGAAACGCGACGCTTCCCACTGGAGTATGAAGTTTTCATTCGCTCGCCTATCTCCAGCACCAGGTTTAATGACATTCGAGCCTTTTCATCTTTGCCAGGCTCAGAATGCTACACGTGCGTAAAGCGATGCACAATAGTCGTTCAGAATCGTTTGCTGACGCATGAATGCGATGGCAGCAACTGCAGTACTCCCCAACTCCTGTGATGAGTCGGAAGCCTCGAGCATAAGGTTCGACGCTTGGAATGAAAGGATAGATAGAAGCCAATCAAGAGCACCGACATACAAAATACACCACAGCTTGCTCATAACATCATTCCTGTTGGAGCGCTCTGGTAGTATGCTTATTCCAACTAACATGCGCGCACAATGCAGCCTGCGACGTACCTGAAGCTATTGCCGCTGGGCGGGAGCTCGCCATCGACTTCAGCGCGGCTCCTCATCAAACATGCGTTCCAATCCGAGTCTCATAATACAAAAATATCGTACACGGACTGATAAACAATGGCAATGCCTTCATCCACTGATGGCAAATGTCTACATGTTGCGATAAACGCGCGCCGTACATGACAGTGCAATCTTGCGTTCAAAATGGTGACTACAGCATACCTGTCATAACGTATGACATAGCGGAGAGGACGGCGCCATAGCCTTACGCCAAATGACCTCGACCCATGACGTGCGTGTTCTAGTGACTGACATGATCCGTTTTCTGCTACAAAGAAGAACACGCACATGCCACCGCCGGCCATTTTCCACGAACGTGGTATGCACATAAATCGACATCCAGGCAAAACTAAAAGCGGTCTTGTAAGTGGAATAAGGCCTATCTGGCCCCTTCAGTCAGACAGGACTGCAGTAGCACCTGAATAATGCCACCTTCGACAATGGTAAATGCACCCATGCAGCACGGGAAGAGACGTTGCCTTGTCACCAGCACTTAATTACCAAGCAGTGAAATTCCTAATATGCCCAGGACGCGGCACGCAGACTACCAGCCATATTATCAGTTTCAGAACACCGACGCTATCACCATGACGACCCCAGCCGGGGATGCGCACTGAGTTTCGTTAACCTACACATCGTAGCTCAGCCACGTACCAAAAACACCATACCTCCACGCTCATACCAGGCATAGCGATAACATACCCGGTCAGCAGGGCCATGTGGACTACCCTGGCGTTCCGACGAAAACCAGTTACGAATCCTCCATCTAGGGCCGGAGATCGGAGAATGGTTCATTCTTTGTCCGTGGACCTCGGGCGGCCGACGGGAGCCATCGCCAGCGCCGCCGACCGCGGCAAGCGTCGAGGAGCCCCCGGCTGTGACCCCGGGCCGGTCCGTGGACCTCGGGCGGCCGACGGGAGCCATCGCCAGCGCCGCCGACCGCGGCAAGCGTCGAGGAGCCCTCGGCTGCGACCCCGGGCCGATCCGTGGACCTCGGGCGGCCGACGGGAGCCATCGCCAGCGCCGCCGACCGCGGCAAGCGTCGAGGAGCCCTCGGCTGCGACCCCGGGCCGGTCCGTGGACCTCGGGCGGCCGACGGGAGCCATCGCCAGCGCCGCCGACCGCGGCAAGCGTCGAGGAGCCCTCGGCTGCGACCCCGGGCCGATCCGTGGACCTCGGGCGGCCGACGGGAGCCATCGCCAAGCGCCGCCGACCGCGGCAAGCGTCGAGGAGCCCTCGGCTGCGACCCCGGGCCGATCCGTGACCTCGGGCGGCCGACGGGAGCCCATCGCCAGCGCCGGCCGACCGCGGCAAGCGTCGAGGAGCCCCTCGGCTGCGACCCCGGGCCGATCCGTGGACCTCGGGCGGCCGACGGGAGCCATCGCCAGCGCCGCCGACCGCGGCAAGCGTCGAGGAGCCCCCGGCTGCGACCCCGGGCCGATCCGTGGACCTCGGGCGGCCGACGGGAGCCATCGCCAGCGCCGCCGACCGCGGCAAGCGTCGAGGAGCCCTCGGCTGCGACCCCGGGCCGATCCGTGGACCTCGGGCGGCCGACGGGAGCCATCGCCAGCGCCGCCGACCGCGGCAAGCGTCGAGGAGCCCTCGGCTGCGACCCCGGGCCGATCCGTGGACCTCGGGCGGCCGACGGGAGCCATCGCCAGCGCCGCCGACCGCGGCAAGCGTCGAGGAGCCCTCGGCTGCGACCCCGGGCCGATCCGTGGACCTCGGGCGGCCGACGGGAGCCATCGCCAGCGCCGCCGACCGCGGCAAGCGTCGAGGAGCCCCCGGCTGTGACCCCGGGCCGATCCGTGGACCTCGGGCGGCCGACGGGAGCCATCGCCAGCGCCGCCGACCGCGGCAAGCGTCGAGGAGCCCTCGGCTGCGACCCCGGGCTGGGCGCCGGATGGCCGCCGTCGCAATGCTGGCCCGCTGGCAGAAATAAGAGCCTGCCCGGGAACGAATCGACTTGTTTACCACCTCGGCAAGTGCGGCCCAGGCCGGCCGGCGGCGCCGGAACACAGCACAACGGAACGGACCGCGCGCCCACGTGCCGAGTCAGAGACGGAGCCGACCGCGAGCTGGGGACGAGCGAGCGCGCTCCGGAGAGGCGACACCGCGGGGACCGCGTGTCCATGGTGACATTTAGTGCCCAGAGCGACGCTCCTTCCACCAACGGCGCGCCAGCTTGAGGGCCGACGACTGCATTAGACGGCTGGGATTACACACGATCTGACGATGTCCGCCGAAGCAGAGCTTCAGGCGGAGAAGAATTCAATCAACGGGAGCAGTGAAGCGGGGACGGTCAATACAGGCCAGACTTTTAATGACTTTGCGGTACTTAACTCACTACGAGCCTGCTGATGCGCATGCGTGTGTAAACGGCGGGGTGGAGGGGGTATCCCATTCTGGTCTTCTTTAGCTGCGCGTGGGAGTGCCGAGCAACACGGCGCGCCAAACTCGGAACGCACACCGGAATGATCTAGTTTCACCTCCTACCCCGGACCAGGCGCCGCCGCTGAGACACCGTAGCAGCGAGCGTGCTAGGGCCGTCCTCAGTGTCCCGCCGCCAAATGGACCGTCGCCGGTGTGATCAATAGCCAGCGTGCCGGCCGAGGGTGCAGCCGCCAGCCCGCCGCCTGGTGTCAGATCCATACCCCGCGGCGCCCTTCAGCGCCACGGCCCGGGCGCTCCTCGGCTGGCGGCCGGAGGCGGGGGCGGCCGGCGCCAGCCGTCATCCGCGGAGAAGCCCCGCGTGGCGTCCGTGTCACGGCTGCGGTGCATGACACAGCACGGCACAACAGAGGCCAGGCGCCGGGTGGACGTTATGAAGCCGGTAGTCGGTGTTTTAGACACACGTGTTTGAGGTGCTCCAGCATGACGCAGGAGTGATTTGCTCATATGACGTATAGAAAAAAAACTTCTAAGCTCGATGACCGCCAAGTGGATCAGTTCCTCGTCGGCGTATCGTTTTTTATTCCAGCAATATCCCTGTGCGTGACAAAGCTCATTATCACAAATGTGTGTTGGCTGTGTGCAATGGTTTCTTCCACAATGGTAGGGATGAACACTTAAATGTGGACGCTTACCGATGCAAACTTTTCGAGAAGCTGGTTAACTTTTTAACCGATAGAAAGTTAGAAAACGTTCCATGGTAAATTTTCGGAATGTTGGGATTAACTTCCTCACTCAATTTTAAATGGACTTTTAAATGGACCTTTCCACGCGAATCATGGTTATTGGGTGACTACGGGAGCCCATCTCGACAAATGTCTGAAGGTATTCTACAGCGCAGTTGCTGATAATTGTAAACACGGTAATGTAAAAAGCTATCAGCTAATGCCGAAAAAGTCAAATTATTGTTAAGCATTCTCAAACTGTAATTATTTTCCGATGTAACTAAGGAAACTGCTCATTTGGGCAGATTGGCCAGGCCCAAATTCCCTTCTCTGCCGTTTGCTGCACACTGGCGAGCATCCATAAGTAAAGGTGGAGGTTTCTCTGACAGCGTGAAAACGTAGTCAACACGCATGGCCACTGGTATCAGCATGCACCAGTGGATACCAGTGTGAATGGGCCGGAACAGCCAGCACCACTGGTCACCCATAGCAGCAGAATACACGGTTTCCTCATTCCCATTCCTCAATTCGTTGCGGTCCTTTACCGGAAATAGGCTTTGCTTTGTGCGACAAAAGTTTCGAAAAATTATGGAAACAGAATTTTCCGTGGAAAATTCCCAGGCGGCAAAACTAGCAACTGGGAATGTTCCACTGGCAATTGTCACCAGACTTTTCGGTGAACATTCCCCTGTGATAACTTCCGAACGAGCCAAAATTTCCGGAAATTCACAATCCCAAGTTTACACTGGCAAACAATAACGAACGGTCTTGATGCGGCTTGTTTCGAAACGATGCCACGCACTTTCGCCACACACTTATAAAAAGGGAGCTAACGGGCAGACATCCGGAAGCTGAGACGGATGCACGCGCTTCACGCAGTGCTGGAGCCACGTGGACGCCGTCAGGACTGATCACCCCAACTTATCGCGTTATTGGACTAATTGGCACGTGCGCGAGCTGGCAGCAGACGTCATCATCCCCAGAGCGTAGGCATACCCAGGCCCACAGCCCACGGCACTAGAGAGGGTACCGGCGGCAGCGAGTGGAGAGCTGGTGTTCGGTATAAACACGCCACACGGAGACGGTGCAGGAGTGGTGCTCTGGTGTGTACGCTGCACACGGCAGCACATCAGCGCAAGCGAATGGCTACTGCCCAGGGTACCGAAACTAAACACAGGCGACTCACACAGAGGTCTAGCAGCATGACGGTGTGCGCCGATTCCAAGGACAGACATCCCACACAGACCAGGGCCCACCACCGCAGTAATGTGTGCTGGTTCCAAGCGCAGACACGACACCACAAAGCAGACATGACACAAAAGGGAGGTGCTGGAGTTGTGTACCGGCTCCCAATGCTGACAACTCGCACACAGCAGGTCCCAATAACGCGTGACGGAGCGTAGCTCCGCGGCACACACGCTCCACACGGAGGCGGACCCAGCGACCGGCAGCGGCACGCTGCCCCAGCGCGCAGGCCCGGCGGCCGGCAGCGGAGCCTGACAGCGGCGGCCGCCGGGGGCTCACGTACCTGGCGTTCGGGCGGGGCTCGCCGAGCGGCCTTGGGCAACAGACGGAAGAAGAAGAAGAAGCAAACAGACGGCAGTGTCAGTGACGACAAACGACCACACGCCCGGCCAACGAGTCGGCACCAACCGAGCCGGTCGGTGACGGGGGCTGACACGGAGCTTGTTAGCATTGCGATTGTAAACCCCGGAGCTTGTTAGTGAAAATGCCGCCAGGGATTAGTGGTGAGAGGCATGACAATGTTGCCGCTTCCGAGCTGGTTAGTGGGGACACCGGCGCGTGAGTTATTCGGACAGCTCATCACGCCAAGCATGGGCGGCCACGGAGTCCACACAATGAACCACGGCCAATCGCGCGTGACAACGGCCAGGGTGTAAGGACGGCAAACCGCGACCAGATGCAATCACCGGGAGCGACTCGGCCGCGCGCGGAGGTTCCCGCTGCCAGACGCCGCCGCTTGGCTGCGCGCTTACCACGGTCTCTCCTGCGACGTTTGCAGTCAAAGTCCAGGCGGCGCCCCTGCAGCTTCTTGCGGTGGTGCTGAGGACGGGGAGGGCCCGCGGCCGTGAGCGTCTCACAAGGCGTGACACGGTGAGAGCGGGTGGCGGTGAGCGTCGCGGCGGCGCGCACACCAGGTGAGCCACGGTGAGCACACATGAGGCGACAGCGGGAGGCGGTGAGCGTTGTGGCATCGCACACAAAGGTGAACTGAGCTCTGGCAGCGGCAGTTACCAGGATAGAGCCGGAGCTGATCGGTGACCGCCGTCGCGCTCCAGTGGTATCAAAGTGCGTTCTCAGCGGCGCACCGGGACACCAGGGCGTGTCGTAGCGACAAAGCCTTTACTCATGCGGCGCACCTGAGCGACAACACAGCCATACTCCGACAGAGCCTCAGTCAGTCCCTTGAGACGATCAAACGCGGCGCCCCTGATCGCCACCACGAGCGCCGCCCCGGCCCTCTGCCTTCGCTTGTTATGCAGCACGGGCGGCAGTTAGCATAAGCCGCCGATGGTGCCGAATTCGAATGCCACCGATCCCAACAGCCAGCGGACGCCACCGACAGCTGGCCGGGCCGCTCCGACGCGCCGCGGCTGGCAACTTCATATCATATGGCGGTGACGCTTCATATCTCACGGGCGCCCAGCGGGAGTAATACCCACGGGGCGCCGCCATATCGCGCCGAGCGCCCAGCTCATCTCGTCCGGGCGCTCGCCTGTCAGCGGGTGGCGCTGGCTGGAAGCGGCGGCGCCGACTGGAGGCGGCGGCAGCGGCGGTGGCGGCTCGATAGGCGGCACAGGCGTGAGTCATGACGGCCGGGCAGACCCCGTGGGTCGGGCCCGGGCGACCAGCAGTGCGGGCCGTCTCACGCGGATGACAGGCGCACTGGCAGGCGGGCGACTGCACCTTCATCGTGACTGGTGTTTAGGTGGGCGCTGGTGGCGTGGAGTCGACGCCTTCTGATGTCCGGCTGCGGCCACCTTCGGCGGCTCCGCCTTTCGCAATCGGCTTGGGGGGGGGGGGGGCGCATTCAGCCTCGAGTGAGGCTAACAGCCGGATAATTGAATACGGATGGTTAAACACAACGGCGATCAACATCACGTCCAATACGCCCTAACTTTCTCCTTATTGCCCGGCGATTCTCACTTGATTTGCCTGCTCCGTCTCTGGTCACTGCCTATTCTCGTTTGACATGGACGTTCAGCTGACTTGCATACCCAAGGAAAATGAGTAGAACATAATCCGGAGAAACCAATGGCGTGACTGGCCATGCTGCACAGACCCGGCAGCCACCGCCCAGGGAATCAAACACAGTCGCGTCCCAAGCCGCGCAGGAGGGGCTCAGCGTCTGCACCGGCTGTCTGGTGGGCTGCATCGCCGCTGTGGGACGGCCCGAGCGCCCCCGCTCCAAGAGCGGCCAGTCGCGCTGAGATAGAGCCGCATCGACCGACCTACTTCCGGTCGCCGGGGCGTGCCTAATGTCATCGCAACCACCCCTCTCCGGCGGCGGCGCCCACGCACGCACGAGCGGTGACGTCACTGGTGACGCTGCGCCGCGCCGGCGCCGCCGCAGACGCGGCAGCGTGGCGGCCGGGCGCGCGCCGGACGGCCCGTAGGGGACGGGAGAAGGATCGCTCTCGCCTGCCCCCCCCCCCCCCCCCCCAATCCCCAATGCCCACTCTGGTGATGACAGCTCAGGCCGGGCCAGCCAAGCCTTATCTTGCCATATTTCCAGGAAGGGTGCCCATGGGACTATTGAGTAGAATACATCCAACTGGTCCAGTTAGACACATCGATGGCGTTGCCAACGGAACGAAAGGTACAGCAGCCGCCCGAACCCGGCCGTTCGGCAGCCAGAGGCCGCCGCCGACGGATCCTGCCGCCCCCACTTCGGAGTCCTCGGGGCGACTCGACAGTCAGATTGCCTCCCGTCCCGCCGCTCACCACCGCCGGCCTCGACATTGCGTCCGGTGCCTCGCGGCCTCGCCAGCCTCGATGCTGCGTCCGGCGCCTCGCCGCCTCGCCTCGCTTCGCCGGCTTCGACGCTACGTTCGGCGCCTCGCCGCCTTGCCTCGCCTCGCCGGCCTCGACGCTACGTCCGACGCCTCGCCGCCTTGCCTCGCCTCGCCGCCTCGCCTCTCTTCGCCGGCCTCGACGCTACGTCCGGCGCCTCGCCGTCTTGCCTCGCTTCACCGACCTCGACGATACGTCCGACGCCTCGCCGCCTTGCCTCGCCTCGCCGGCCTCGACGCTACGTCCGGCACGCCGGCGCGTGTTCATTGTGAGCGACAATGACAGCGCTGGGGGCTTTGACGGCGCATGTGATTCTCTTGCCGCATGGATCTCCCGCACCGGAGACTGGCTGGCGCCGCATGGGTCTCCCGCACCGGAGACTGGCTGGCGCCGCATGGGTCTCCCGCACGGGAGACTGGCTGGCGCCGCATGGATCTCCCGCACCGGAGACTGGCTGGCGCCGCACGGGTCTCCCGCACCGGAGACTGGCTGGCGCCGCATGGGTCTCCCGCACCGGAGACTGGCTGGCGCCGCATGGATCTCCCGCACCGGAGACTGGCTGGCGCCGCATGGGTTTCCCGCACCGGAGACTGGCTGGCGCCGCATGGGTCTCCCGCACCGGAGACTGGCTGGGCCCGCATGGGTCTCCCGCACGGGAGACTGGCTGGCGCCGCATGGATCTCCCGCACCGGAGATTGGCTGGCGCCGCATGGGTCTCCCGCACCGGAGACTGGCTGGCGCCGCATGAGTCTCCCGCACCGGAGACTGGCTGGCGCCGCATGAGTCTCCCGCACCGGAGACTGGCTGGCGCCGCATGGATCTCCCGCACCGGAGACTGGCTGGCGCCGCATGGGTCTCCCGCACCGGAGACTGGCTGGCGCCGCATGGGTCTCCCGCACCGGAGACTGGCTGGCGCCGCATGGGTCTCCCGCACCGGAGACTGGCTGGCGCCCGGAGACTGGCTGGCGTCGGATGACGGACGTTACCCAGTCGAGCCCGACATGTCTGTCCCTGAAGCCGGGCTCGTGTCTCACTCACAGACCAACTAAGGCAGGCGGGCCGGTGCCGACCCAAAACGGCGGGCCACCGGGCGTGACGGACGCCTGCGGAGCGGGCAGCGGTGGGAGCCGGACGGACAGTGCGGCGTGATCTGAGACGCACGGCAGCGCCGCGCTGATAATCTGCACCGCAACTGCCGTCAAGTCCACTCTGGTGATTTCGCCGATGTCAAAAGTCGTGAAACAAAATATTAAGGGAAGATCCAATCTGATGGTGGGGATTGGGAGAACCTTTAGTGTTTGTGAACGTGAGGCAGTGCTGGCATTAAAGGAAGTGGTCGGGCAGCGCGCGGCACAGCTTTGGCTGTGAAGCTGACCGCGTTTCTACGGTCATATTCGTTCCGCCTACAGCCCCGGCCGTAATGACGAAGAAAATGACCATCTATCTCCATCCCTCATGTTTTTTTCTCCTGCGCCGAATATCCGCCTCGTTGCTCATGCCGTCGGCGGCCCACCCACCATCACTTCCTTGAGGTCCTTGGACTGCAGATGGTGGAGCGGCTCCAAGAAGCTTTGCTTCATGTTGTCGTCGAGGGAGTACTTGATGTCGGCGATCTGCTTCATGGCCTCACCGGCCTCCACCATGGCCTGGGCTGGAACAGCAGAAGGCCGGCCGCCAGTCAGTCGGGCACGTTCGGCACGCGTTCATTGACAGAGGCCGCACTGCCGGCTGCCGAGCCGGCCCCACTGTCTGTGGAGCCAACAGAATAGCACGGCTGAAACCGAACGCCATCCACTGAACGTTGCACGCCTTTCGCACCCACTTTTTGGACATGGACAGCAATGTCCAGGCACTGGTTTCGAGGATCATCAGTCAGCAGAGCCAAACGGTGGCGCGTGGGCAAGGTTGGTGGATCGAGACACCAGTCGGACGTAATTGTAAACTTAAGAAAAATCAACATCCAAAAATGTTCTTCTTTGCTAGAGCGGCCTTGCCATTTCGGCCTTTATATGGCGTGATCCTGACTTGATAACGACCAACATTTGAAAATGGCGAGTGACCGATATATATATATTGGCATGTTCAGAAAAAAATTTATTCGCAATGACGTCGATAATACCATGGACCCTCGAACAATCAGCGTCACGAGCGAGCCGATACGTCAAGTGACGCATCTGCCAGTATGGCGCCGCCACCACTTTCTTGAGCACCATAGAGCAGGCTCACAGCGAGCTGCAGTAGCGTATGAAACACTGGCTCTGTTCGAATCTGACTCATGCATCTGGCATGGCAGAACGATACTGCGCCATTGGTGAAATATCAACATAAAACATTAATCGCAATATCAAAGAGCATAAATTTTCACAAAAACGCAAATACATAGTCTTGAAATGAGAGGTCACTCTTCCGCGGATAAAAGCTTGAAACAGTACTAAATATGTTTTACAATTATTGTCAGCCATTGGGGGCGTAAATTGAAGTGGCCGAAATACGGGGAACAGTCAGGCTGCGGGGGCAGGCTAGGCCAACCTCATCGGCTCAGCCCCTCTTCCTTCCACCAACCGACTCTAGAAAGTGACGCCCCTGAGTGTACAGCTGCTTGTTGGAGGGGAAACCATGTTCAGTGCTATTTCACTGAAATGAGTAATTCAAGCACAGATTCTGCAGATTTAAATAATTCAGATATGACAAACAGCAACACGCCAATGTCCATTCATCAAATCTTATTGCAGCTTTAAAACCAAGGAAATACACAAAAAGGTATCATTACAGCTCAGTGGCAGCGACAGACGGCTGTCGCACACGCCTTTTCAGCACAGTTACTCCGTTCATCTTCTATTGCCGTTCAAAACAGTACCTGCTATATCATCATCTATGGCTCACGGCTATCAGCCACATTGGCTTCATGCACATTCCATCCGTCAGCCCCAGATGCCTCAGAAGGATCACCACCAGTCTCACCACGTCCCAGGTCAACTTCAGTGGCGAAAGTTCCGCTAACGAACATAGTTCTCTGACTGAGCAGCGTGTCGTTCCCGCCCGAGCCGAGGCAGGGCGGGGAGGCGCACAGCTGGAGGCGCTGAGGGCGCCTGGCTGCCGTCTCTGCCTCGCCCCAGATCGCCTCCACCTGGCAGACGGCCGGCAGCCTCCGGCGCCGGCAGCTGGCCGTGATCCAGCCGCGCGCCGCGCCCAGCGTCGAGCAGCGCTGCCGCGCCGAAGGCTGGTCATGGTAGCGGCGGCGGCCGGCAGCGGCACCGCCCCAACGCATGACCCAGGCTCGCGACACGCCGGCGTGGTGTCCCAGCAGGCGGCGCACGAGGCCCGTCTGTCTGCCGACGCGCACGGCCGCCAGCCGGCCGCCAAGCCGGCGGCAGCGAGCGCTCATCTCGCGCCGCGGGCCCACCGTCGCCGTCACCAGCATACAGCTGGCGTCTAACATCGTCCAGGCGGCGTCGGCCGTGCCATTGGGGCAACGGCGCACGGCGAGTGTGTCGGCGAAGTCGGCATGGTCGAGTCTCAAGTGCAGGCGCAGCAGGCGGCCCCTGAGCTCCTCCTCCTCGGCGAGCGCCGCGATGAGAGCGTCGCTCCTCGCCACGAGTGCGCCAGAGATCCGCGTCTTTGTCTGCCGGAGCGCGGCCACCCCGGCCAGGTCGGCCCCGTGGCCCGACTCGGAGCACGCAGGCCATTCGTGTCCGTGCGGAACGCTGCAGACCAGGCTGACGTTTCTCACCTGGCTTCACTCCCGGCACGCTCTTATGGGGCTCTGATATGTTGTCCGAAAGAAAGACGAAGTGCTGATCCGACTCACGCGCGTGAAGCAGTGCCTCGGCCTCATGTTTGGAGCTTAACGTGGCTAAATCGCCGAGATTGTAAAAGGAGCACGTGGTTGCTGCCTCCGAAAACGTCAAAGGTCGAGGAAGCGGGAATATGAAAGATTTTGTTGTTATACATGTTTGACGGATGGGGTGAAGAGCCGAACTCGGTCCACACCGGTGAGGTGCACGCTTCGGGTGTGATTCACTTAATGGCACACTGATCACCAATACTAGCATTCCAGAAAACAATGCAGGAATTCCACAGCTTCGCATTGTGGCGCAGTTTAAGAACTCATAAATTTGCAGAAGGCATCAAAACACTCGAAACTCGAAACACATCAAATCACGGTCACAAACTCAAATCCCATACTTAATTAGTGAGAAATACCTGCGCAATTTGTAGTGGTAGGTGGGAAAAATATTCGATATGCCAGAGTGTCGGATTTTTAGGAACCACGATTTTTAAAAAAAAGCAGCGTTGTGCTCGATTTGTTCGCAAATAAGCCAGTTTTCAACTTCTCGTGGAAAATCACCCCTGGATCTCCAAAAATAAAAACACTACTGATGGGACACGAAGGTTAATACTGATATGTTTTTCATGCTTAAAAAAATGTCGAACGACGTTCGTTTCATTAGCATCATGTTCCGAAGCACACTCCAAGCCTTAATATATCGACTTATTTTGCATCGAGATTTTGCAATACATGGGTATGTAGAGCAGGAATACCTTTCGCGGAGTACTTCCCAACATTACACTTCTTTACAGCCATGAGTTGATCCCGAATTATTAACGTATGACGAGTTATGGCTCAGTGTATCGTGTGAACATAAATGTTTTCGAATCTATGATGAAGATCATGGCACCAATGTGTCATGGACCCATCTCTCATTATGTTGGCAAGCTCTTTTTGGAAAACAGAGTTAAAATGGGAACTAAATTTCAATTTTTAGGCGATCTTCAGGGTGTCCTGTTTTATAGAACAGTTGCTCGCCTGACATTCACAGTCCAGTTTCTCAGAGGAAACACTCGGGTGGGACTGACAGCTATTTATACAGTGTCCACAGGCCAGCTTCGGCAGCTTCGGCCGGCTTCTCAGGGGGTATCTATAAACCATTAAAATAACCACTTATTTCTAGTAAGTTATGTCACACCGTGTTCACAGCTAACTGTAGGCAATTCTGGTCAGCATGCTTCGGAGTCGCTCATAAGGCTGCTGACTTTCCAGCAGCTATCCTTTGGTAGTTACGATGCACCTTCTGCACGCTTTGGGGGCTCACAGTAGATTTACGGAGCTCGAGGGCGAAATCCAAATACATTCGCTTTGCAACGCGGCATGGACCGACACGTCGGGCGCAGTTGTCGTGCTCCGCTACAACTTAAGTGCGCGGCTACAACGCATCATCAATCGAGGTGCTGAGCTCGTTAAATCTGAAGAAAATGTTGTCTTAAGTACCAAAAGGCGAGGAAATCTTGGCATTTCATGCAAGAGCACGATAACTTCAAGCGTTTCTATCACGTAATGGGACGACGAAAATTAGACTTCCGACATTTTTCAAACGGACTGGGACCACAATTATTTTGTTTTCCAGTCACAGGAAACATTGTCCGCACTGAACAGTGAATACACAAGTTCGGCCTGGTGAGGAAAATGGATGCAATGAAAATAAGGGGATGCATATATATATATATATATATATATATATATATATATATATTGGAATATTTTGGCAGAATTCTTTCTTTGATACATGTTTGATTAAAAATAACTGCTGACTCAGCATTAACGAGCTTTTTGATGCATCGTTCTAGCTTCCGGGCCTTTGACTTTGCGTCATCGCTTAGATTAAAGATGGTTCGTACAAAATTACTCATATATTCATCACTCCTTCCATTCTAACGTTTCGAGATCTTATCTCATCTCGAGGAAGAAGACTAAATTGCAAAGAAAAAGTTTGAGTTTTAAGGGATGAAAAAAATTGTGCACTATGTTGGAAAACATCTTTTAGTACGGAGAACATAAATGAAGCACAACTAATTGAAGTAAGACCTATATATATTATATATAGATTATATATGCATATATATTTATATATATAATATAATATATATATATATATATATACATATATATATATATATATAAAGTTATATCATATATACTTTACGCCATATTTATGGACTTCTGTTCAACTCGTCCCATGGCTGGTGGCAACTTATCTCCGGGAATAACTAACACACAGTTTTGCATTCGCGCCAACATTCTGTGCGTCGGGCGAAGAATACATTGCATACCACATTTCTTGCGCTACAGCGTCAATCAACAGTCCACCTACATCGTCACATGGCTCCGCAAACGGCACCATGTGTCGCATCCACTCGTTCACACTCACACAACCTACTCTTCCCTACATTCCGTGTGCACACCAAACCAACATCGCAGCACGTCGCGTGGGCCCGCCTCGGAGCGCGCTTTGTGGGGGGGGGGGGGGAGGGGGCAGACTCACCGAACGGCTCGTCCTCGTCCAGCTTGCGTCCGAAGGTCACCATGCACTCGCCGAGCACGCCCTCCGGCTGCGGGTAGGTGGCCGCCTTGGCCTGGCCCGACAGTTTGGAGATGCCTGCCGGCCGAGAGAGTCCGTGAGCCCCGCCGCTCGAGCAGTCAGTGGCATCGGTAGCGGCACGGAGGTCCGCTGCCGTCCACCCGTTCGCCGACAGATCTGGTCGGGCGGGTACCGGGCGGACTGGCGCTGATTGTGACGGCGGTCTAGGCACGGAACACGTGAAGCACAGGCCAGGCGACGGAAGACATGCGCGTTACGCCAAAATGGAGATGACATCACATGCTGTCGTCTGACGCAGTGCTTCCTTTCTACGCAGAAAGCGTAAAATAGCGCGACACGACCATTGCAATGGGTTCCATATCGGATACAAAACAGACACAGAGTGCATAGGCCACACTGTGCTGTCGAGCCATTGTCCACGTCCACGGTGATAATTCGCATCTTAATTCTGACGGTGCTTTTCTGGCCGTTCTCAGGTGTCCGTCACGATCACAGACACAGTATTGTAATTACGGGGCTTGAAGCTGTCAGAAACCTCCGATATCACGATATGTGTGTATGTACATGCTCACCGCTTCAAATATTCTCAAGCCTTTTTTTGTTATAAAGCAGTACCTGACAACAAAATGACTAACTGTCCCAGAAATTGACTGCAAACTGAAGTCGTTCACGTTCGATTTCGACAAAAAATCGAGCAATTCTTCAAGTACCGGGAACCCGTTTCCAACATTCACTCAGACTGGGCACATTGTAGCAAATTGTTTGGCGTTAATTTGGTAGCCTTGGCTGACTATTCAGCGCCCAGCCTTGACCACTCGCATAGATGGCGTGGCCAACAGAAGCCAATCAGGCAGACAGGGGTGCTAACGACAGGCCCCATCCGCCAGCCAATTTCCGCGCATGTCGCCCCAGTCGTCACCGCCCTCGCCCAATCAATGGCATCAGCCCCGGCTTCACGGCGGCAGCAGCCACCCACCGGGCCATGGCAAGGCGCGCCGCCAAAAATAGGCAGACCACGCGTGGGCCTGGCAGAATGCAGGGCCGGCGACGCTGTGGGTGACGCGATTCTGCGGGGAGGACGGCCGGCCGCCACCACAGCAGGCCACTCCCAGGGACGCTGAAAGCAGTCATCATCCGTCTGCCTTATGGGGCACATGGCCCTGTTCCTGAGCGAGACTTTCCCGACCGAAAATAGAGCCCCGAAGACGATAATACGCTGAACTAAGGCGAACTTAATATGGGATTAGCGCGCCAGCAGGGCTCAGGCACGGAAACTATGCATTGGGAATTCTCAATACAGTTCGAGAGTTGACATGCCCTGTGTCGGGTTCAGTGTCCCACACAAGGACTGCATGCACGACCTAACCAGGACCTCATCAGCATAGAACTAATTCGACGGCGGATATAAGCAGACCAGTGCGGGTGCTATGCAGCCTCGTGTGATACCGCGGCAACAAATGAGGTCATGCAGTCCAGAGAGCCATCTGCTGTCAGTTTTAATGACCCATTTGCTTCCCTGGTCCATAACCCACTTCGCGCCTGCCCCGGGTATCTCCCAGATTGGGAGGGCAGGGAAGCCACATCGCGATGCTCCATAATGAGAACAGCAACGCGGCTTCAAATACATACCCACGTTCGCAGCCCCGGACCGGAGCCGATAGCCGCGGAAGCTTGTTGGAGATGGGGAAGGCGAGGGGGGGGGGCAAACATGATTTGTATTTCGTTTGGCTCCAAGCCCATCTTCGGGTTAATGCCGACCGCTGTCTGGAGTCGGAGCCCGCTATATATATATATATATATATATATATATATATATATATATATATATATGTAATCGCAGCAAGTTGTATGCCTCACGCGCCCCAGGGTAACCGCAAAGCACTTAAATAGGTCGCATGTCCGCCGCGCCTCATTCGAAACATAACCCGGCAGCGTTGTGAGATGAATGCAAGTTGCATCAGCCAATATCATAGACGACAGTGCAGTGGGTACATCTTACCTTGACATGTGCATCCAACGATAACATAATCATTACCAAATTGCGATTGAGTTTCCTCCGCGGAATCAATTCCAATTTTAACTCATACGGCAGAGAATTCGTTCATACTACTATTCCGCACAGTCAGAACAGATTTAGATCATTTTCGAGTACACCCCAAGAACATGCGACCCGATCACGAAAGCGATCCCAATGGGGTCCACGCCATGAACCCCACCACGGCCTGCTCTCCTGACAGGCAGTCCTGACAGGCCATCGCCAGTGTTGGGCCTACGCCTGGCGCCGGGCCGTACAGGCCGCCGTCGGCGCCGCTCCGCCTGGTGAGGACCCGCAGTCCCACTCCAGGGAGGGCAGCTCAGGAAGCCGTACAGGCCATCGCCGGCGCCACACCGCCTGGTGAGGACCCGCAGTCCCATTCCATGGAGGACAGCTCCCGGAGCCGCAAAGGCCGCCGCCGGCGCCGAGGCCACCGATGGCGGCCGGCGGCTCTCAAACGGCCACCTCTAACGGGCCACGCGAGTGTGCACATGTCCTTACGCCGAGCAATGTGTACAGAACGACGCTGTATCCTCGTTCGCCCTGCAGCCAAGGCGAGTGGCAGAAAAGCCCTAGAGTCCGCCAACAATACTCACCCTTTACGGCGGACATTTTGGCCCGGGACGCGGGATTCGGGTGTAGGAACTCCTTCGTCTTAATCTGCAGCTCTTCCACCAGCTCGCAAGTGATGTCCGTTTTCTGCAAGTGGGCGATGCTGTTATGTGCTGTGATTACACGATAAAACCCGTGCTAGACATTCTCTGCTCAAGAACAAAAGGCTCCAGTCGCTTTAAATACGGACATTCGCCAAAATGACAAACTTATTGCAAAACTACCAACGAAAAAGAGGCACAAGAATCTAAAAATGAACAAAAACGTATATGTATTATGATTATTTTCGTAACATTACATGCTCTTATAAATTCGGGTCTACGATACCCGTATAGGAGAGAAAATTGCCTATCAGACGAACTATCAACATAATGCAAGTCGCAGTCCTCCTGGCGAACTTTGTCCAACGACAACTCGTTTCCGGTACACATCAATCCTGACTCGATATGGCCGCCTGTTCCGCGGCAGGTTAAGCCACTAAACAACTCTGCCACCCACGGCCCGTATTATTTCTAGACCTGCATCGGGTGCGCGACCAGGCGCGCTCTCAGGGGGGTCAGCTCACTCACAACCAGGCGCGCTCTCAGGGGGGGGGGGGGGGGGCAGCTCCCTCACAACCAGGTGAGCTCTCAGGGGGGGCCAGCTCACTCACGCGCTCCATTTCCGTGAACTCGTCGTCCAGCTTGGTGCCCTCAGCACCGCCCATCTTCTCGGTGACATACTGATTGGCTTTGTTGATCTGCTTCTTGAATCCGGCGAACGCCATCTTGGTGGGACCTGGGACAGGACAGCCTGCGCTGACAGCGGACACAACTAGGAGCGCAGCGGCGATATCTGGCGCGCTGGCTTCATGACCAGCGCAGGTCATTAAACGTATCGTCTTGGTGCACTGCATCGGCATGCTACAGAGCTCATTCAATGGCAAAAACGGCTGGTATAATCAAGCAATTTGCTTTGGGTAGAAATGTTCGGCCAGGTGGAAACGATATGCTAAAATACGTACAGTCAAAGGACGAGGTATCTGGGTGACACGGGACATGGATCTAACCGTTCATAAAATGTCAACGACCTCCCCCCGGGGCGTCGTCTCCACTCCTGTCCGCTCAGTCAGACCCTTCTGTCAGAGCATCCCTAGCGCCTCGCCCAATCAGCCGGCCGCGGATGACCTCCCGACCTTTGCGCAGGACGGCCGCCGCCATGTCGCCCGTCTTCGCCGCCGTCCGCCGTCGCACGCTGCCACTAACTGTCGGCCCCGACGCGACGGCACGGCTGGTGGGGAGGGGGCTGGCGGCGGTCCAGCGGCGCCGGCGGGGACCTTCGAGGAGGTCGTGCCGGCGGTGACGCCGCCCTGGACCGGCGTTGGGCCCGCTGCGGTCTGCCGGGGCGGGCAGGGGCACGCAGCGCTGGTCGGACCACGGAATGAGCGCCAGTGGCGACACGCCGAGCGGCCAGCTGGCTGAGACCATGGACACCTGCGGCGGATGCCGCATTCGTGCGCGACAGCTCCTGCATGCTGAGCGTCATAAGCGGAAGAGACTTTCAAGTTCTCCCACTGCGCGCCGAGAACGCCATTAAGTTCGGACGGAGAAGGAATGGATCCGGGCCTCTACACAAACCACAAGACTCCACTGCGTAGAAACGAAAAACAACAGTCCGCTGCCGACGGGCGGCGCGCTAGCCCGGTCACGCGACGCCGGCAGCGGTCGCGGCTAACGAGGCCCCGCCGGCGTCGGCGCTCCCCCGTCTGCCAGCGACAGTGAGCCATGAGACGAGGACAGCCGTCGGCGCTCCCCCGTCTGCAAGCGACAGTGAGCCATGAGACGAGGACAGCCCCCGGGCGGAGCACCGCCGGCGTCGGCGCTCCCCAGTCTGCCAGCGACAGTGAGCCATGAGACGAGGACAGCCCCCGGGCGGAGCACCGCCGGAGTCGGCGCTCCCCGTCTGCCAGCGACAGTGAGCCATGAGACGAGGACAGCCCCCGGGCGGAGCACCACCGGCGTCGGCGCTCCCCGTCTGCCAGCGACAGTGAGCCGTGAGACGAGGACATCCCCCGGGCGGAGCACCGCCGGCGTCGGCGCTCTCCCGTCTGCCAGCGACAGTGAGCCATGAGACGAGGACAGCCGTCGGGCGGAGCACCGCCGGCGTCGGCGCTCCCCGTCTGCCAGCGACAGTGAGCCATGAGACGAGGACAGCCGTCGGGCGGAGCACCGCCGGCGTCGGCGCTCCCCGTCTGCCAGCGACAGTGAGCCATGAGACGAGGACAGCCGTCGGGCGGAGCACCGCCGGCGTCGGCGCTCCCCGTCTGCCAGCGACAGTGAGCCATGAGACGAGGACAGCCGTCGGGCGGAGCACCGCCGGCGTCGGCGCTCCCCAGTCTGCCAGCGACAGTGAGCCATGAGACGAGGACAGCCGTCGGCGCTCCTCCGTCTGCCGACGACAGTGAGCCATGAGACGAGGACAGCCGTCGGCGCTCCCCAGTCTGCCAACGACAGTGAGCCATGAGGCGAGGACAGCCGTCGGCGCTCCTCCGTCTGCCGACGACAGTGAGCCATGAGACGAAGACAGCCGTCGGCGCTCCCCAGTCTGCCAGCGACAGTGAGCCATGAGACGAGGACAGCCGTCGGCGCTCCTCCGTCTGCCGACGACAGTGAGCCATGAGACGAAGACAGCCGTCGGCGCTCCCCAGTCTGCCAGCGACAGTGAGCCATGAGACGAGGACAGCCCCCGGGCGGAGCACCGCCGGCGTCGGTGCTCCCCGTCTGCAAGCGACAGTGTGCCATGAGACGGGGACAGCCGTTGGGCGGAGCGCCCCCGGCCATGCGCGGACCGCGGCTGGGTCGCCATCTACGGCGGCGTCTCGCCGCGGAGCGGCCAGTGGTGACGACAAATGCGTCACGGCGCGTGACTTCAGCGGGGGGGGGGGATGGCGCTTGTCTTAACCCCTTGTCAAGAAGCAGCAGGCTCGTGCAGAGGCTATGCTCGTCCACCAGGGGACGTGGTCACAGCCGGGTAGCTGCGACCGACCCGGCCCGTCGCCAGGGTCGGCTTCAAGACATGATGATAATGATGATGATTTGAGTGTTTGGGCGCATCGACTGCAGGTCATGCAGTACGCCTAGTTATCACCTTATGCAGGGCCGCAAACCAAGCAGGTGTATCAAACAGGTCACCCTGCTAAGTCTTGATGGTCAGACATGGCATCATGATGAAAAGATGACTGGAAAATCTACAACGCAGAGACTGCAACACTTTACCAGACTCGACATCACGCGAACAATCCCCTAAACAGCGACATAGTGCGCGACTGTGGGCGTTGTGTCCGAAGAACTGCACCCTCGTTGCAGGGACTTTCCTAGTACCGCACGGCGCTCCTCTCCCGGATCACCAGCTCACGTAGGTCATCGCCGTTCTCTGTACGAGAGACGTCTCGGCATGGAATGGGCGGAGCGGGGCGCGGGAGCGTCCAGTACGAGCCACGAGACCGACATCGAGTGATTTCCACGCGTAAGCCCGCCCTCAAGCGCTGCGCGGGCCGCGACGGCCCGTCTCGACCGCAGCCGCAGCCGCGCGGGCAGCGGCCGCTGACGAACGCCCCTTCACCGGTGCTCCAGCGGGGGCAGCCATGTCGGAGCCGGCACAGGTCCATCGAATCGATGGCACAAACGTGGCGGCGACGGCGGTTGATTACCGCCAGGCAATTAACCAGCGCTGAAGCACCGCTGGAAATTGTTCGATGCCTATGCCCAAAACGCGGCGAACTTCAGAACATTTCAGGATGGGAGCACGGGCGTAACGAAAATAAGTTAAATTCCAGGCGTGCATTTCCGTACATTCGCTGCAAATGTAGAGCCTAAGCCTCACCTGCGTTTAGCTGCTTGAACTCAAGTGGCGTTAGCGTCGCTGTAGTATGCACGACTGACACAACGCGGCTGACGCGGTGGGCATCATCGTGTGTTTCATATACGGGGCATTGTGCAAAACACACGATTTTTCACCTTGACCACGTTCAATTTTACGCAACGTGAAGACACGTGCGGTCACGTCACGACACAGGCAAGGGCAAAAACGCTGCAAATCTAGGAAGATATATTGAATTGTGTGCTACACAGGCATAGGCCGGCGCCAGCACGACCAAAAAGGCTGCAAAACTCATACAGGATACATTATTTTGTGTTCACGAGCCTGAGCCAATGTCACCCAGGTATCCACTCATACTTCGGATATTTTTCCTAAACACCTTGCGCAGCATCTTATGTTGGGATTATCGCCAATAGGCATATCTTCCTTGCACCACACGTATGTTTGGCCAGTATCAAACATCGATTCTCATTGAGGGTGGATGTCGATCCCGACACCACGCCGACAGCAAACGTCCGGCTGGCTACACGGAGCCACTCCCCCCTCCCCATCCCTCCGTCACGCGGCCAAGGGACCGAGGAGCGTCGAAGAACAGGTGGTCCTCCCGCCGAGCCGGCGCTTTTTGTGCCGCGCGTCTGCAACCCAGGCCGGCGCCCCCGGTCAGCCCACCGGGGAGGGGAGCAGAAATCGACACCAGAAGACGGCGACACAGACAAACATAAAGCCTCCAAAAAGCTACCAAAAAAGACGGCTTCTGCCTTTTTTGAGCACAGGCGACCTATGTACGAGGGGAGTGAGCGGACAGGATCAGTTATCGCAAGCCGTGGCGGACAGGGTCGGCTGTAGCAAGCCGTGGCTGACACCGTCGGCTGTCGCAAGCCGTCGCAGACAGGGTCAGTTGTTGCAAGCCGTGGCGGACAGGGTCAGTTGTTGCAAGCCGTGGCGGACAGGGTCAGTTGTCGACAGCCGTGGCGGACAGGGTCAGTTGTCGAAAGCCGTGACGGACAGATTCGGCTGTCGCAAGCTGTGGCGGATAGGGTCAGTTGTCGAAAGCCGTGGCGGACAGGGTCAGTTGTCGCAAGCCGTGGCGGACAGGGTCAGTTGTCGCAAGCCGTGGCGGACAGGGTCGGCTGTAGCAAGCCGTGGCGGACAGGGTCAGTTGTCGCAAGCTGTGGCGGACAGGGTCGGCTGTAGCAAGCCGTGGCGGACAGGGTCAGTTGTCGAAAGCTGTGGCAGACATGGTCGGCTGTCGTAAGCCGTGGCGGACAGGGTCGGCTGTAGCAAGCCGTGGCACACAGGGTCAGTTGTTGCAAGCCGTGGCACACAGGGTCAGTTGTTGCAAGCCGTGGCGGACAGGGTCAGTTGTCGAAAGCCGTGGCGGACAGGGTAAGTTGTCGCAAGCCGTGGCGGACAGGGTCAGTTGTCGAAAGCCGTGGCGGACAGGGCTAGTTGTCGAAAGCCGTGGCGGACAGGGTCAGTTGTCGAAAGCCGTGGCGGACAGGGTTCGCTGTCGCAAGCCGTGGCGGACAGGGTCAGTTGTCGAAAGCCGTGGCGGACAGGGTTAGTTGTCGAAAGCCGTGGCGGACATGGCCGGCTGTCGTAAGCCGTGGCGGACAGGGTCGGCTGTCGCAAGCCGTGGCGGACAGGGTCGGCTGTAGCAAGCCGTGGCACACAGGGTCAGTTGTTGCAAGCCGTGGCGGACAGAATTAGTTGTCGAAAGCCGTGGCGGACAGGGTCAGTTGTCGAAAGCCGTGGCGGACAGGGTCAGTTGTCGAAAGCCGTGGCGGACAGGGATCGGCTTGTCGCAAGCCGTGGCGGACAGGGTCGGCTGTAGCAAGCCGTGGCGGACAGCGTCCCGACTACGGCGGCGGTGGCGGGCCAGTTGGATATCCGCCGTATAGGCGATAGTTCGCGAAAAGATGAATACATGTACGCGCGAATAAGCATATAAAATCAGTAGAGGCGGTGCCTGTCCTCCTCGAAAACGCCTACGATGGGAGACCCACGTGAGCTACCAGCTCTCATCGCTGAGGAATATAGCATACCCGCTCGCGTCATTTGTCACTCCAAGGCTAACGAAGGGAATGCGATCATAGTCTACTTACACCCTACTGAGCTATTGTACCATCTGCACGTTCGGCCTCCCGAGAAGTGCTGTGCTTGTATGGCGCAGACCCTCTGCGCCTCCTCGCTGTTCAGCACAGAAACCAGCCCCCCCCCCCCCCCCCTCCCCATCACTCCCTCCAAAGCGCGGGTCTCTGCAACAAGCGACGGGCTCTACATTCGCCGTAACCGACGTGTCTCGCGGTTACCACAACTCATTAGTCTCATGGTTACCACAGGCCACCAAAAGGCACCGCCGGTAATCCGCTGGCTTCGCAGCTGCCGCAGAGCACAAACGGTGGCACCGGTCGCCGGCACCTTACAGCTGCCACGAACGATCGGCCGAGGATTGCCGGCGACCAGCACGTCCCGTACAGGCCCGCTGACCGGCACCTCACAGCTGCCACGAACGGCCGACCGAGGCTGCCGGCGACCAGCACGTCCCGTACAGGCCCGCTGACCGGCGCCGGGGCACCCGGAGCCCCGCCGGTGGCGCCGCCCCTCCCCGCCCCCCTCGGGGGCATCGCGAGCCGCACGTGCCACGACCACACTGACCTGCTTGCCGCCGCGTCCGCCGCCGCCCGCTGGGGCCGTGCTGATCGGCGCAGCGCGGCCGTCAGCCGTCCCTCAGCGCGCGTCGACGGCGACAGCGGCCCCGACAGCGCGTCGGTGTGTCGGGAGCGGCGCCGCGGCCGCCGATCGATAGGCCCCGGCTGCGCGGCGCTCCGGACGGACCGGATCGGCCCGGCCGGTCACCAGCCGTCTGACCCCGCCAACGGGTCACGAGGTACCGGCTGACCTCTCCCGACAGGTGATGGGGTACTGTCCGACCTCCCCGGCGGATCACGGGGTACTGTCTGACCTCCCCCGGCGGGTCACGGGGTACTGTCTGACCTCTTCCGGCGGGTCACGGGGCACTGTCTGACCTCTTCCGGCGGGTCACGGGGCACTGTCTGACCTGTCTCGATGGGTCACGGAGCACTGTCTGACCTCTTCCGGCAGGTCACGGGGTACTGCCTGACTTCTTCCGGTGGGTCACGGGGTATTGCCTGACCTCTCCCGGCGGATCACAGGGTACTGTCTGACCTCTCCCGGCGGCTCACGGGGAACCGGCTGAACTCTTCCGGCGGGTCACGGGGTACTGTCTGGCACGTCCAGCAGGTCAAAGGGATACAGCCTGACCTTTCCCGATGAGTCAGGAGGGTACTGTCTGGCCCCTCCGACGGGTCACGGAGTGCTGTCTGGACCCCTCCGACGGGTCACATGATGCTGTCTGACAGGGTACGGAGCGAAGCTTTTTACCCGCTGCTTCTCAACTGGCCTCAAATATCGAAACAGTACCCAGAAGATTCCGGTCTGCCCCCGAATCCGCCAATACCGGAGGATCTGGGAGGCCTCTTCTCTCGGAGGCCGCCTTCCCACGCCGGCGACTGTTCTCGGACACGCAAAAAAAACCTCTCACGCAGCCGGCCGGCCGTTCTCGGACTCTAGCCTCTGACGCCGCCAACGATCTCTCTCGGACACGTGCTGACCTCTACCGTCGTCACCGCGGTGGCGCACCGCGGTCCGGAAACGACCGGCGCTGGCATGTGCTCCAACAGGTCCACCGGTCCCCTCTCTGGCCGGAGCTTTCGTCACTGGTCACTGGATGTGCGTACCACCTACGTCCTGCACGACCTATACTGGCACCATCGTGGTATATATATATATTGGGCTTCGGTCCTTTTGTCAACATACAGAACCTCTGTAATATCATTATTTACATCACCTGTCAATGACTGAGCCAAACACGCCGACCGTGCAAGGCCCGGTGGAAGCCGAGCGGCCTCGATCTCCAGTGAGACGCGCTAACCACTCGCTACTTACGAGTTGGAAGTTGGCACCCAATTCGACATTCTTGTGACTGCAGCCCATTCGAAACAAAAACTTATCTGACAGCCTTGCCAAACTTTTTAGCTAACCACCCACTCGTCCTGATTTGTGACGTTCGTTCGTCGTCTCCAGAACCACGCAACGACATCCGAACACCGACTCATCTGTGTTACACACATGTAAACGCCTCTGAGGCGCTGAACGATTTTTTTTTGGGGGGGGGGAGCACACTGAACAGTTGGAAACTTGCTATCCGTAGATCCGTGGTGGTACTGGACCAATGATTACCGTCGTCCTTTCAAGCACCCGTCGGTGCGTTCATATGCGCCCCCTTCTTTTGCCCACCACTGAGACCTTGTCAGCGCCCGTGACGCCACCTCGACTCCAGCCCACCACCCTTGACTCCAGCCCACTACATTTGATTCCAGCCCACCACCATTGACTCCAGTCCCACCACCTTTGATTCCAGCCCACCACCCTTGACTCCAGCCCACCACCTTTGATTCTAGCACACCACCCTTGACTCCAAGCCACCACCTTTGACTCCAAACCATTCCTTGTGGTGCCCATGATGGGAGTTGTGAGATTGCAGCGCCGTGGCTGGCTCTGGTGGCCGTGCAAAATCAGCTACTGCTGTACCAGAATGGTCCTGTTTGAGCTACAACTACTACAATCGAAAGAGAAACTGTAGCTGTGCCAGTTGTAGGTTGGAGCCAATGACACCCATGGTGGGTAGGTTGGTGTCCATGCAACACAGACTAGTGCCAGCAGTGTGCTGGTGAATTGTGTTCTTTTGTTAGATGTTGCACCTGTGCCATGCTGTCATAGCCATACATTAACCAGTCATCAATCCTTTTGTGCTGAAGCAGCACATACCAAGGTAGAGCTCATAAATACACTGTTAGAACTGTCATGTGGGATCCAAATGTATGGTATGTGGAACCAAACTATGCCAGTCTGATATGAGAAATAAAAGAGCTCTATGTCACAAACATAAGCGGGCTGTCAAGCACATGTATTGGGAAGACTGTAAAGCATACACTGGAAAAATAAGTACCTGACAATGAGTAGACTTATGTCCCATGTGGACCTGTTCTCCACTGGCCTTTTTCCAACATTCAGTTTGGCTTGTTTCTGTGCAACCCAAAAAATAAAACCAAAAAATGGAGGAAAGGTTCTGCCTTAACCTTTATATAATAGCCTTTGATGACCAACAATTGACTGAATAGGGCAAACAACTGCAACCTCACCATTTAATAATGTCCAGCCTCATGCCTCAGGAGGATGATAGTGGGGCAAGCAGATAGCCACCCTCTTCCCAAAAATATGTAACAATGTAGGTAAAAAGTGTTTAATGGGAAGCAGCAAGAACATAGATATATGTGCTCTGTAGAAAGAATCTAAGAAAAAACTTGTCTGTCTTGCCAGAGCAGTTTGTCTGGCCATTTGCTACAAATATAACTAAATTGCATTGGACTGGGGATGGTGCAGAGCCCTACAAGAACTTTGGAGACCTGCATTAAAACATTAATAGCAGATAGTTGAGGAACAGAGCAGTTGAATCTGATTGCCCTTTCCTGGCTCAGCATCTAAAGGGAGTTTAAGACCCATCCTTGAGGATCTCATATACACTGCAGTTGTAAGATCCCAGCTCATGTGATTTCACTGACCTGCAAAGTAATGCAATGCCACAGGTCAGGTTGAATGCTACAACATTCCAAGATTTCTGTTAAATTATGTGTTCATTTTCACTTATCATGATATTCAAACCAAATAGTATTGAAATATTAAAATTACACATGTCAGTCTGTCAGATGAAAGAGAACATTTTAGCCTTGAATCAGTTTACAGATTCAGCCATTTTAAGCAAAGACATGCCATAAATTTGAAAAGCTGTATTTATATGTGAATGGGTATATATAGTGTGTATATTGTCTGCAAATATTCATTCTCTCTTCACTATAAGCCACCTGGATATATACATGAGTTGGATTAGTATCATCACAAAATAAGTATCTTTCTGCAGCCATGTAGTATGTGACATGCATGTTCCATAGATCATACTTGGTCATAAATTAAAAAAGAGCTTCAGCCTCACTGCAAAACAGCACATGTTTTGTGAGTGAATTACTGAGCTGAGCAAGCTACAACAAGCTTCTATCATGTTGTGCCTAATGTGTACATTAGTCATTGTCAGGGTCATGATCAGTCATAGCCATTGTGAGGAGTCTATTTTGTACGTTTTGTCTAGCATATATACTGGTTAGCACAACCTAAGGGTGGCATGTGGATTTCATTGAATATTGGCTCACAAGGATACAAAATGACAAGTGATAATCTTCCTAGCTTGTGTGTAGAAGGCTAACGTTTGACACCCAGTTGACGGCGTGGTCTCTGGGCACATCTATAATCAATTAAGTTGCTTGTTCTGAATGGATCCTGCATGACAGGATAAGGAAAATGTCCCACAAAACCTTCCAGAAGACATCCCACAAGCCGAAGCTACAACTTACCAGAGGCTACTGATTCTTTAACTCATGATTAACATAACATCGAGAAATATGACCCAAACGCCCTTACTCAGTGGTAAAATGTCACTTTTGATACCTGCAACGCCTGTGGAGGTAAAACTTCGCTGGCTGCACGCGTGCATTTGCTTTCTAAGTCGCTAGATACTTTTTTGAAAAAATATCTCAAGATCATGTTGGGAGTTCTGTTAGCTGGGAATCACTGGAAATGCTGCCAGTTTGCTGCCAACTCGGAATGCAAAATGCTACTAAATGCTGGAGCGTACTGCATGCAAATATGGTGCATTATAGATTAACGTTTATTCATCCTCTGAAAAAGTCAAAATGTCGCGTAGGGACAGTTTTTGGGGCCAAAGCAAATGATTCAACGGGTCCTTTGAATGGAAACGATGCTATACTTGATTGCATTTCCCATTGTGCAAGGCGAGGGGCGGAGGTTGAAGCGGGTAAGGAGGAAGTTCTTTATTTCCTCGCAGTCAACCCCAGTATGGCAAATATTCACACTTCAGAGACCCTACAGGATCAACATTAGCCTCCAGCACCACCAGTTATGGTTTCAAGGGTCCTTCGGGCCCCTCAAGACCTTGTAAGGGCCTGATTTGACGGCCCGAAGAGCCCGAAAGGCCGGCCGGAGGTAAGTATTCAGGGGCGCCCCAGAGCTGGGCACTCAGATGCCAGCCAGAGAGGCCCTGCGCGCTGATCTGAGGCTGCCTGAGTCGATGCTTTCGGTCAGGCACCACCAACGACGCACAATCGGCGCGGTGTCGGCGTGGGCCTGAGGGCCCATTCCCAAGGGCCCTATTGGAGGGCTTAAGGGCACGAAAAACCGGTCGGAGCCTTATTTCGGAGCCCCGGCCTGCTGGGATAGGCCCTGAAATGACAGTTAAGAGCGCTTTTGCGCTGATCGGAGATCATCTGAGTCTATATGAGCCTATATACCGGTCAGGCTCCACCAGTACCGCACAGTCGGCTCCGTGTCGGCATGGGCCTAAGGCATGGGTGTCGATTTCTGAAAATGATGGGAGGCCAGATTCGTGGAAGTCGTCATAAGGGGACAGGGCCAAAGACTTTAAGCACTTCAGGTCTAATGTTCTGGTGATGAGTTAAATATATATATATATATATATATATATATATATATATATATATATAGTGTGTATATATATACTGTGCCTACACATATTTGTAAAGGGCATGTGCGTCAGCAACCATGCATGGAAGCCCCGCAGATTGCATTTGCTTTCTATAGAGACCTTGTTTTGTGAAGTTGAAGGAATGCAGTTACAGTTCCCTCCTGCAAACTCGAAAAATGAGTTGGCGTATAACTTACCATCATGTACTTTGGATTTTTTTGTTTGTATTCATCCGTTCACAAGAATCGTCCAGTGTCCACAAGATACGTGGCTAACGCAGCCCATTTATGTGCATGTTCTTAATGCACCAAAATGTTATCGATAAAGCATATGCATTTAAGTGAACAGTCAATGTTAGCGATTTTATGTGCATTGCTATTAATATCTATTTCACCCATAAGTTAAGAGCATGGCTTTCAACATTTCCGCAAATAAGCTTAGGCTGATGCCCCCTGCTAAGAATTCCTTTCCTCACTCTTTTCAATAAACACGAAATGCAAGCCCGCTATACGTCTGCGGGACACTATTCCAAGCTGTTGTACTTCTGAAAGGAAAGCATCCCTCACCCGTTGCACTTCGAGCGTGTGAAAAATGGCACACCCGTCATATCAATGCTGTGCGTCATGCAGGTTGGTTGCAACAACGCTGCTAGTTGAGCTGGCCTTTCCGTTGCCGTGGGACGATATCTACATACGCATACTCGGTGCTCAACGAGCGTGCCGACGCAGAGCCGCAGCCAGAGTCTTGGTAACTGTGGAGTGGGACACAGCGCCGACCCAACCTCCCCCCCCCCCCCCCTGTGCCCTCCCCCCCCCCCCACCACCAAAAGAAGTCATCGGATACGTCCCACTTGATTCCGAGGGGAGCCCTGTCCTTCTCAAAAGCCAGGAATGACTAGTAGATGCAATGCTGTTTGTATTTTGAAGTCGATAAACGGAAGGAACCACACCGATGCTATTCATTTTATAGTGTTTCAGTGGACTCTTCCTTAGCTGATAGCACTCATGGACTGTACCGGAATTTTTCTGGGTTGTACAGAGACATCGTAAACGCAGATCTTAGATCGAAATAAGGTCATAAATTTGCATTCACGTTAACCTGTTTTTGGCCTCAGAGTGCTTAACTTTGTTCAGAACCAAGATTACTTCGGATACCGTCGGATACTTCTAGCAGGGCTCTTTTACTAAAGTCATCTGTCCCTTTTATACACGGTCTTGATACGAAGCCAAACAGTCGGTTCCATGTCCGTCTGGACCTTGGGCCCGTTTCGCAAGTGGGAACGAGGCGGGGCCGGCAATTTGCAATGCTTGGAATCCCTGACACAATGACGGGTTCCTGTGTCTGTTGGGGATCACAGCTGCTAGCAGGGGTCCTGTTTTGACAAGTGACCCCGAGTTGGCAGGGTGCAATGTTTGAGAGGGGCCCGAAAGGGCCCAAAGGGCCTCTGGAGACCAAAAATTAAGGCCCAATTGGAAGGTTGAAGGGTGTAAAGAGCTGGCTGTAGGTCACATTAAGGACCCTCGCTCGCAGGGCTATGATCTCAAATGTAAGTTAGAGTGCCTTTTGTGCCGATTGGGGACCCCCGACGCAGACATTCCTCTATTTCGGCCAGAGGTCGCCCGCACCGAACAGTCGACTTCGTGTTCGGTCATAGCTCTTGGGGTCCAGTTCCCAAGCAGGGAGACGACCGGGCCCGTAATTTGCATTAGCTGTAACCCATGTATCGTTCCGGGGCCCACGGTGCCTAACGGGGTACTCTGTGCCAATACAGGGCCTCGAGTCGGTCAGTGGAATATTTGCTCACCAGGCACGGGGACGGGACTCCAAATGACAGAGCGCCCCTTGCGTTGGTCGGGCACTCTGACAATAAAAGAAAGCGTGCGAACCTGTATTGAGTGTTAATGTTGACACAACGGAAGGGTGCTGCGCTAGTCATGGCCCCCAGTACCCAACGGTGGGCCCTCCAACTCCATTCCAGCATGGGCCCGTTGAGCCATCCTGGAGTGCATGTGCCAATTATTGGACCCCCTGCGGCGGCCAGGGATGTTGTTGCGTCAAAAAGGATTCATGCGTCGATTCGGAGTCAACCGAGCTGATCATAAGGCCTCCACGTCAAGAAGTGGACCAATGCGATTTTGGGCATCCTTTAAGTGCTTCCAGATCGGCCAGGGGACGCCGCCCCGTGTTACCAGAATGACAGCCGGAAAACACACCGGGGTGGGACAGAATGGCCCTTCAGCCCTTGACCGCGAACAATACTGTGTCCGGTAATGGTCTACTTAAAAATCCATTTCCCGGAAAAAAATGAGGGGTCTCATTAGTATTGAGTAGAGGGTGTCAAAATTAGTTTAAAAAACGCCTAAGGCCATCCATGTTTGCCGCAGAACGTTCATTATTTTGCAGAAGCGACGTTGAAACAAATGACATCAAAAGGATTCAGCCTGCGCGTCCAATCTCGGGAGCAAGGACATCGATGGTTTGGGTTGCAGTTCTCGTAAAACCGAACAGCGTTGGTCATTGCAAGTAATACTAGACGGTAGGCGCCGCGCGCGCGAGAACGACCGTCGTAAAATACTGGTTCTAGATGTCTTTCAAAATGTATTTGTAATGTTCAAAGTTTAATCTGGGCGTATCTTTTTTAGCCTTATGTTTTCTGGACAGTATTAGGAGTTACGGCAGCACGAAAAATAGAGATCCAACTTACTCTACGTATACCCTTCTAGTTTCACCAACAGATTCCAGTAGCACTTCGCAGTGATGTTAAGACCAGTCTGTTCTTATCATCAGACATCAATCTAAAAATCCCACCGATAAACTACACGCCCTGAACTGCAATGCGGTACAGGATAGCACCTAGTACGATTATCCGTGAAGTTAACCATTATTCAGCGATTTATTCAGCGACGAGATCAGATTGCTCTGGAAAAGGTCAGAAGGACAACTGTGGCATGGAAACAACAAAAATGACCCTCATTTTACAATACCATGTGAACTTTGGGGTCAAAAGCTGGGTCAAAGGACGGGGAACCCGATATCACCCTAAAATTGCCGGCCAACTTGAAAACTATAGGCATCAAAATATTGACAAGCGCAAGAGCTAGGCGTCTGTCAAGATGTCTTGACCTCTCAACGTCATTTTTCAAGGTCAAACGCGGACTCGAAGGATGGAGAACTCCATATCACTCACAAATTACACCCCGATTTTCAGCTTACAAACATCAGAATATTCACCACAAAACACTAGCGTCCGTCAAACAGTCTTGACCCCTCAAGATCATCCTTCAAGGCCAAACACGGACTCGAAGGACGGAGAACTCCGCATCACAAAAAAATTACCAACCGATGATCAACTTACAAATGCCAGAATATTCACCACAGAAAGAACTAGCAACCGTCAGACAAATCTGGCATCTCGAGGTCACCTTTCAAGGTCAAACGCGAACTCAAAGGACGAGGACCTCCATATCATCCAAAATTACCGGCCGATTCTCAATTTACAAACATAAGAGCATTCACCACAGAAACAATTAACGTCCGGCAAAAAGTCCTGACCTCTCAAGGTCATTCCTCAAGGTCGTACTTGGGCCTTAAGGACAAGGAGTTTTATATCACCGAAAAATTACGGACCGATTTTCAGCTTGCAAATGTCAGAATATTCACCACAGAAAGAGCTTGCGTGCGTAAGCAAAATCCTGACATCTCAAAGTAACCTTTCAAGGCAAAACGCGGACTCAAAGGACGGAGAACTCCATATTACCCAAATATTACCGGCCCACATTCAACTTACAAATGTCAGAAATATTTACCACATATAGAACTAGCTTTCGTGGACAAGTTCTGACCTCTCAAGGCCATTATTCAAGATCAAACGCGGGCTCAAATTCCTGGGAACTCCATATCACCCAAAAATTACCAGCCGGTTTTAGACTTGCAACTGTTAGAATATTTGCCATAGAAAAAACTAGCGTTCGTGAAAAAG